CTGGGATGGCAGAGAATTTCCTGAATCCTAGAATATATGATTTGTGTTTTGGCAAATCTGGCTAAAAAGGGTTGCACTATAGATGACAATGTCCTGCTTGTGCAGAACTTCGATCTTCTTTCTTAAATTGGAGAGAGTCTCCAGAATGGTGTCTGGCTCAGGGTACACACAAAAAAGGGGATTATGGGGTGAAGGAACAATGTTCCTTGTTAGTATCAGTCTATATAAACTAAGATTGGCTTCTTGTTACAAGATACAGGATTACAGACCAGACAGGATCCAGTTCCATTGTGCTGGGAAGAGTTTCAACAATACAGTTTATATTTACTTTATAACTAAAGCCCTTAGGACAAGGCAAATAACTAAAACCCAGAGTGCATTAAGTCACGGTTCGTTTCAACAATGGTTTGCTGAATAAATCATAAGTATAAACTGAGCCATAATCTAAAAACCATGGTTTACAAGTACCATTATATTTTAGTGCAATGTAAGATTATGGTCATCAAGTTGATAGGATCTGCTAAGAAAAAAAAAGAGCAAATGATATTTTAGAGGTAGTCTGGCTCTTTGTGACATATGGACTTCAACTCCAAGAATTCCTAAGTCAGCATGGCTGGTCCAGGAATTCTGGGTATTGAAGTCCACAAGTCATAAAAGAGCCAAGGTTCCCTACCCCTGTGCTAAATGTACAACCACAATTGGGACCAGAATTTCTGTTGCTAAGCAAGATGGTTGTTAAGTGAGTCATGTCCAATTTTACATCTTTTTTAGCCATAGTTATTGAATGAATCCCTGCAGTTAAGTGAACCACACAGCTGTTAAGCCAATCTGGCTTGCCTCATTGACTCTGCTTATGAGAAGCTGGCTGGGAAGGTTGCAAATGGTGATCACATGACTCCGGAATAGGGCAACTGTCATAAATACATGCCAGGTCCCGAGCACACAGTTTTGATCACACTGATCATGAGGACGCGACAACAGCTGTAAGTGGGAGGACCAGTCATAAGTCACTTTTTTCAGTGCCATTAAAACCTTTTTTTTTTTAAGGAATGCTTGTAAGTTGAGGACTCTACCGTCACTTACAAATAGTTTTCCCCAGAATGGATGGTTTATACCAGGGGTAGGCAACCTTGGCTCTTTTAGGACTCGTGGACTTCAACTCCCAGAATTCCTGAGCCAGCAGGAGTCCTAAAAGAGCCAAGGTTGCCCACCCCTGGTTTACACGAACAGCCAAAGGACCCTACTGGCAATTGAAAGGAAGCAAAGCGAGGTAATCCCAGTGGTTAGCTAGGAAGAAACAAGAGAAAACAGTCCCAATCTATATTCTCCAAAAAGAAGAAATGCAAATACTGAACAATGTACTTGAATTCCCCACTGGAGAGAAAGCCGAAGAATGACAGATTTGCATTTGGCTCTATTTCTCTATCAACATTCCATTCAACACAAGGTTTTGTATAAAATATTGTAAAGGTAATCCTCGAATTACAACTGTAATTAAGCCAGCAATAATGGTCGTTAAGTCAGGCGGGTCGCAAAGTGGGTCACCACGTGACTAGACACAATTTTATGACCTTTTTTGTGGTGGTTGTTAAGCAAACATGGTGATTGTTAAGCAAACCCATTATTCAGTATGGGTCAGGCTTGCCACAAACTGCAAATGGCTATAAATGTGGACCAGTTAATGAGTGTCCAAAATGTGGTCATCTAAATGTGATGGGAGGGTTGGACATTGGATCATAAGCAGTTGGGGGGGGGGTCCATTGTATGTTATATGGTTGGCTAAAGTTTAATAACCCAAGTTGTAACCTTTCAAATCCTGTTCTGACTATAAATCATTTTCCAGTATTGCCAGGCTTTTCAATTATCACCACATAGGAAAAAGGGTCCAACATTTCCAGCATTTATTTATTTAAGAAAAAGAGATTATTGTATTCATTCTAACAATGAAGACTGAAGTAATGTACCACTAGTAGGACATCATGTTGCTTCTCTTGAAGGATAATATTCAAGGAAAATTTAATATTCAATTTATCTCAAATATCTAGGCAGTTATTCTGTTTTGCTTTCCCAAAACTGTCCTTGCTTCCCAGTATTTTGTCTTAGCTTGTCAGCATTCCCTTTAATCTTTTGTGGCTTAGCTGAGAGTTTATTCTCCCTGGGTAATTGCTCAATTTGATACTCTATAGCTGAACTAGGAATTTGTTTTTCCTGGGAAGATATATTTGGGTAGGTCTTTATACACACACACACACACACACACACACACACACACACACACACACACACGAAACAACTGAATGAAAAACTGCTGGTGACCTTCTACCGTTGCTCCATGGAGAGTGTTCTAACATATTGCATTTGGGCGTGGTTTGTTTGCTGCACAGTAGCAGATAGGAAAGAGCTCCAGAGGGTCATTGCCATCGCCCAGAGGATTATTGGCTGCCTTCTTCTCCCCCCCACCAGATGAACTGTACAGTTCCCGTTGTCTTAGGAAAGCTCAAAATATTCTTAAAGACTCATCTCATCCCGGACATTCTTTTTTTGAACTATTACCATTTGGCAGACGGTACAGGATAATAAAAACATAGACAAATAGGCTGAAAAACAGTTTTTATCCCAGAGCTGTAACCATATTAAATACCATTGTATAGTGCAACATTGAAGTGCAATATTAGGGGCAGCGCAATGGTGAATAGAATGTGAAGGATGTATGTATATAATGTATGTTCTTAGTTGTGGTTTTTACTTGTGTGTAGTATGCACTGGTGACAGCACTTAATTTCGTTGTGAGTTATACAGTGACAATAAAGATATTCTATTTCTTTTCTACATACAATTGTGATAAGGAAAGATGGGAAACATGATTTCCACATTGAATCAGAGAAGGCCAATGGTAGCTGCCCTCAGCTATGGACTGGAAAGGAGAGGGAGGCTGTATTATGCAGATGAGTCCTTAAAGATGGTTACAGGAAGTCTTTGAGGCAAAGTCAGGAGGTTGTGTGGATGGGCTCATTCTCTCATTAAGCAATTTCATTGTGCTCAGAGTGAGGTAGAGTGCCTTCCAGCACTCAAGCTACAGGTAGTCCTCATTTAACAAGAGTTCAGAGTTACACCAGTGATGGAAAAGCAACTTTTAAAACCAAGTCTCACATTTAGAGTCTTCAAGGGTTTGTAAAGCCAAAGGAAAGCTGAAGTCAGAACATAAGCCCAGTTGTGGTTTCACTTAGAAACCATTTTGCTTAATGATCGACAACCCCAAGTGTGGCTGCCCAACAAAGACTATATTGATATAACTACATTGCTATTAAACCTCTGAGCTTATCTCTCACCCACTAGTTGTAGTGGGTGCTCTTATGTTGCTGTCTATGGAATCTACAGAGTTAAATTCATCAAGCAACATATTTGAGGTACTCCTGCACCCTTATACTACTAAGGGGAAAACTATCCAAATATTTTGGCACCCAAACAAAGCACCAACTTGTATCTGTAATATAAGCCACATACCCTAGAACCAAAGCTTTAGAAAATCTTGCTGAAACCCTTGGGTATCAGGTCTTGTGTTCTTCCAATCCCCCATCTTCTTCTACCTGAAGCCTACTCCTTTACTGTACTGTACTGTACTGTACTTTACTGTACTGTACTGTGGTGGGCCGACAATGGTTAAGATGTAAGTTATTACCTCTATTCCTATTCAAGCACATTAAGGAATCAGCATAAATCATCCTCTCAGAAATTGTTATTAACAGAGATCCTCCACAGAGGATCTTTTAGACAACCCAGAAATGAATTCAATCTTCCTGCCTTTCTTAATTTAAATCTGGGAAAGCTGAACTGAAAGAGAATGATAATAAATCTGGCTCCAGGAATTGATTTGTCCAAAGAAAAGGTGGGGGGGGGGGACTCCAGTTGGATTAGGCATCTATTGATCTTTACGTGACTTAGTTAGCAATGAAAGGGATCTCTTCTATCATATTCAGAAGCATCCTATTAATCTTGCACAAGTTACAGAGTGGTACCCTGGTTCTAAAGAAACCCTGTTCCTTCAATTCATTTGACTCCACTCCATAACACTTACAGCACAATTTTCAGCATGTTAGTTTTCAGATACACCCACTGAAACTCACCACAAATTCATAAGAATACAATGGAGTGGAGTGGAATAGAAATTGAATTCTTTATTGGTCAAGTATGATTGGATACCCAAGGAATCTGTCTCCAGTGCATAAGCTCTCAGTTTACTTAAAAGCAGTAAGTGATAAATCACAATTATAATCATAAAATACATTCATCATAAATCGTAAGACACAATACTCAATGATAAACATAGGTTTCTAAATAAGCAATCAACATAAATCATACCAGGATATTAAATAAAATAATATAAATTGTAAGATACAACAAAGTTATATTCATAAGATAAGGAAATAGGTAATACCGTAGGAAGATGAGAAGGATAATAGTAATACAGTCCTACTAGTAGTTTGACAGTGTTGTGGGAATTAGTTGTTTAGCAGAGTGATGGCATGGGGGAAAAACAGTCCTTGTGTCTAGTTGCTTTGGCCTGCAATGCCCTATAAGGTCAACTTGAGGAAAGAAATTGGAACAGTTTATGTCCAGGATGTGAGGGGCCTGTGGATATTTTCACAGCCCTTTCTGGCTCCTGCATTGTACAGGTCCTCAATGAAAGGCAGGCTGGTAGCAATTGTTTTTTCTGCAGGTCTAACTATCTGTTGAAGTTTGTCTGTCTTGTTTGATTGCAGTGTCAAACCAGACAGTTAGAGAGGTACAAATGACAGACTCAATGTTCTTTGAACAGTCTGAGCTTTCTGAGTTGGAACAAGAAGGACATTCTTTGTTGTGCTTTTTTGATAACATTTTTATTTATTTATTTATTTATGAGACTTATATACCGCTTTAAGTGCAAGCACTCTCTAAGCGGTGTACACCAGTAAGCAATGTATATATATATTTACATTGCCCCCAACAATCTGGGTCCTCATTTTACCTACCCCGGAAGGATGGAAGGCTGAGTCAACCTTGAGCCGGTGAGATTTGAACCGCTGACCTGCTGAACACAGTCAGCTAAAGTGGCCTGCAGTACTGCACTCTAACTGCTGCGCCACCTTGATGTTAGGAGTCCATTTTAAGTCCTCAGGTATTATAGAAACTAGAAACTTGAAGGTCTCTACTGTTGATATTGTGTTGTCTAGTATTGTAAGAGATGATAGGAGGGCTTCTCCTAAAATCTACTATAATTTCTAGTTTTGAATATGTACAGTTCAAGACTATTCTGACCACATACAAGGCTAGTTGTTCAACTTTCCATCTATATGCAGATTTGTCAAAGAAAAGAATAAGAGCACAAATTCTTGCTTCTAGGGAACTGTTATAATTATTAGCAAAATAGAAGAACTTTTAAAACTTGCCACCATTTAATTTGGTGTTTAAAGGTTGTAATTGAAAAATAAATAAAGCTGGAGGAAAAAACAAAGTAATCCATTGCTTCTCCTGCAACCTCTGTTGCAACACTTCTCATATTTCCTTCCTGGGGTTCTTGTTTTACTGAGATTGGGTAATCATGTTCTCGTAAGTTGGTGGAGGAGGAGGAGGATTTGGTTCAGCTGTGCCTGCTCCATCTCCAATGACTTGGTAAGGCACAAAATGCATAGTTTGCTGTAACAGAAAAGAATAGTCAATATTCAGGGAGGCACCTCTTACTCTGGGTAGGAGAAATAGATTCTCCAGTTGTGTGTTGTTAACTATGATGCTGGGAGTCTCATCAACAGGCTGAAATCCTTGATAGCTCAAAGTCCTGATAGAGAATTCTTTAAAACTATAAATTAACATGCAAATGATTTAGGGCCAGAGCATTTAAGTGATTTTTCCTGATTGAATCTGCCAGCCTTATCCACACATTCAGAGACTCTGCTCAGGATCTCCCACCTACCAAGAGGCATGACAGGAAGACACACACACCTGCCCCCACCCCAGTGAGTATTTTATTTATGTAACCCTAACCCTTCTGAAATAATGATGATGATGTTGGAAGGGACCTTGGAGGTCATCTAGTCCACCCCCCTGCTCAGGCAGGAAACCCTACACCATTTCGGACAAATGGCTGTCCAGTCTCTTCTTAAAAACTTCCAGTGTTGGAGCATTTACTGCTTCTGGAGGCAGGCTGATCCACTGGTTAATTGTTCTAACTGTCAGGAAGTTTCTCCTTAGTTCTAGGTTGCTTCTCTCCTTGATTATTTTCTACCCATTGCTTCTTGTCTTGCCTTCAGGTGTTCTGGAGAATAGCTTGACTCCCTCTTCTTTGTGGCAGCCCCTGAGATATTGGAACACTATCATGTCCCCCCTTGTCCTTCTCTTCGTTAAACTTGACTTACCCAATTCCAGCAACTGTTCCGTATATGTTTTAGCTCCAGTCCCCTAATCATCTTTATTGTTCTTCTCTGTACTCTTTCTAGAGTCTCAACATCTTTTTTACATCGTGGTGACCAAAACTGGATGCAGTATTCCAAGTGTGGCCTTACCAAGGCATTGTAAAGTGGTATTAATATTTCACGTGATCTTGATTCTATCCCTCTGTTAATGCAGCCTAGCACTGTGTTGGCTTTTTTGGCAACTGCAGCACACTGCTCACTCATATTTAAGTGATTGTCCACTAGGACTCCAAGATCCCTCTCACAGTTGCTACTATTGAGCAAGGTACCCCCTATACTATACCTGTACATTTGGTTTTTCTTGCCTAAATGTAGAACCTTACTTTTTTCACCACTGAATTTCATTTTGTTAGATAGCGCCCAGTGTTCAAGTTTGTCCAGATCCTCCTGTATCTTAATCCTGTGTTGGCTATTCCTGCCAGCTTGGTGTTGTCTGCAAATTTGATAGGTTCCCCATCTATCCCCTCGTCCAAATTGTTGATGAAGATGTTGAAGAGCACTGGGCCTAGAACAGAGCCCTGGGGCACCCCACTTTACATTTCCCCCCATGTAGATGCAGTTCCATTGAGGACCGGTCAGCCAGCTACGGATCCATCTGTCTAACCCACATTTTTCTATCTTATCAAGTAGTAGGTTATGATCTACTTTATCAAATGCCTTACTGAAGTCCAAGTAAATTACATCCACAGCATTCCTCTGATCCACTAATTTTGTCACTTGGACAAAGAATGCAATAAGATTTGTCTGGCATGATCTGTTTTTCACAAAACCACATTGGCTTTTAGTAATGACTTTGTTTGCCTCTAGGTGTTCACTAATTCATTGTTTGATTATCTTTTCCAAAATCTTCCCAGTTACTGAGGTCGGGCTAATAGGTCTGTAATTTCCTGGATCCACTTTTTTTCCTTTTTTGAAGTTGAGAACTACATCAGCTCTTTTCCAGTCCTCTGGTAGTTCCCCAGCACTCCAGGATCTTTGAAAAATATAGTTCAGTGGTTCTGAGATCACATCTGCCAGTTCCTTGAGAACCTTGGCGTGTAATCCATCTGGTCCTGGTGATTTGAACTCGTGTAGGCTGGACAGGTGCTCACTTACCATTTTCTTTGCCTTTCTTAACTTGTGTTTCTATTCTGTTTTTATGGCACTATTTTTGATAGGTTGGTCTGTTTTTTCCCTTTGTGTAAAGACAGATGCAAAAAACGGGTTAAATAGTTTTGTCACCTTCTTGCCACTTTCCCTCACTAATGGACCAATCATTTCTTAATTTTTTTCTTGTTTTTTACATGTTGAAACTTTGTTGTTTTTGACTCTGGTCGCAAGCCTTAGTTCATTTTGAGCCTTAGCTTTCCTCCCTTCATCTTTGCAGGCTCGGGCTATTTCCTAATATTCTGCCTTAGTTATGTGTCCCCCTCTCCACTTTTTATACTTGTCCTTTTTGTCTTTCAATTTATCAGAGAGTTCTTTATGCAGCCATGCTGGTTTCTTTTGAGACCTGTTATTTTTCTTCTTTGTTGCTATTGTGCTAGACTGGGCTTTTATTATCTCACTTTTCAAAATTTCCCAAGCTTCTTGAGTTGTTTTCCCCTTGAGGATTCTCATCCATTGAATCCTTCCCAAGCCCTAAGTTTACTGAAATTAGCTCTCTTATTAAAGTCCAAGATTCTAGTTTGACTGTGTTCTATTGCTTGTGCTTTCAGAATGTTGAATTCCAATATTGCATGAACACTTCCTCCCAAATTTCCGGTGGCTTCAACACCTTCTATCATTTCATCTCTGTTAGTGAGAATTAGATCCAATATGGCTAATCCCCTAGTTCTCTTCTCTACTTTTTGGGTGACACAGTTGTCTGAAAGGTTTGTCAGGAATCTGTTTTTTGATCTTCCGCTTGGTGCAGAGTTTGTCTCTCAGTTGATGTCAGGGTAATTAAAGTCCCCATTACTATTGTGATGTAGGCAATGTCATTTCCCCACCCCTTTTATATCGACCCAAATGCATTCTAGACAGTTTTCCTCATTATTGTGCTCTATTTCTGTACAGATGTAGTTATTTCTTATATAGAGAGCAACTCCACCTCCTCTTTTATTTAGTCTGTTTCTTTTAAATAATTTAAATCCCTCTAGTTGTGTGTTCCATTTGTGGGTTTCATAAGGATAGTGCTAACTGGGATAGTCCTCTGGACAGTGGTAAGAGAAGTAAACTGGCTTCTCCTGAGGACCTTTGGGGGACTGATTTTATTTTGTGCATTAGTTTTTATTGCAGTTATATATTGCTTATATTTTCTGTTTCTGAATTCATATGGTTACTCTGTTGTTGTAAACCTCCTAGGGTCCAACTTAATTGAGGAGCATATAATAAATAAATAATATTTTCATGATTTATTCAGAAAAGACATCAGGTTATTAACTTATTTTAAGAATTTAAAGACCTGAAGAAGATGCATTTCCCTCCAGGGAAATTTTGTTTGGTTTCTGAAATGGCTTCAACTGACAGTTGTTCTGAATGGATACAGGTGCTGATAAAGGAGAATATTTATAGTTCAGGGTTGAAATGAGGAGACCTTGATGGTCTCTAAGCTTGGTTGTTTTTTTTTTTGCAGACGTTTTACTATAATAAACCTGCACTGATGATGTTACCTTGTTTGAGTAATGAAACATCTGCTAGAAAGCAACCAAGCTAGAGAGCACCAAGGCCTCCAAGACAGGCATCTCTGCATGCTGATTTAGCTGCTTACAATATTTTTAGAGTTCTTCTGTTTTGTCAGGTCCAACCATATTCACCCCTTTCAGTCTTTGTTCTCTCCCATTTTCTCCCTCTCAAATTAATCTGAAGCATTTCTGAAAGGTTGAGTGTATATTAGTTTTTGATACAAAAGGAAGCCAATTGTCGCTTCTGCCAAACAAGGGACAGACATGGCTTTTTGACCCACCACAGAACTTGCCAATGCAGAATGTAGGTACTTGGTTGGTAATTCAGTTGTTTTCAAATGTTTTTTTTCAAAAGCCTTTTTTCAAAGGCCTCTATTAGAATCCCTTTATTACCACATTAATATCTGGAGATCTTAAGTAGCAAATGGTAGTCATGTATTCAGCTGTTGGTCTGAGATTTTAAAATAATGTTATTTTTTAAAAAACGAAATAGACCTAATTTTTTTTCAAAAAATGATAGCATTGTGAGAAAATGTGATCAAGTAACAGATGCTTTAAAATAAATAAATGCAGTCACACTACTAAAGTAAATATATACATTTAGAACGGAGCCCACTTAAATGAGGACATGAACTTCTGCATCATGAATTAAAAAGAGAGAACACAAATTGTGTTGCATTCATGACATTCCCTCTCTAGCAAAACTGAAGCTATTATCAAGCTATCATATATTTACCTGGGCATTAGAACAGCAAGTTGCCTGGCACCCAAAGTGTGCAAGTGAAACAGCGATGCAAAATTCCAGCAGGCTGAACAAGAGTAGCAGACTGGAGAAGCCATAACTGACATTCTTTACAGTAATCTATAAACATGTGGAAAGATAGTTGTAATCTGCTGAGAAATTAATGTAGTGGAATGTATTTTGTTTTATTTAATGTGCTGCACCATAAAAAGGGACTCCCAGCTGCTTCCTGGGGAAAGACTGAGAGGAACAATTGTACTGGGAAAAACAGAGGCTGCGTACAGGTAACCCTCGACTTACAACCACAATTGGGACCAGAATTTCCATTGTTAAGCAAGGCAGTTGTTAAGTGAGTCATGCATAATTTGACCTTTCTTGACACTGTTGTTAAGGAAATTGCTACGGTTAAGGGAATCCTATGGTTGTTAAGTGACTCCAGCTTCCCCATCCCATCGTCTTTGCTGGCTGGAAAAGTTGCAGAGGGGATGCTGCAAGTGTCCTAAATACATTGCTAGTAGCCAAGCCCCCAGGTTTTAACCATGTGACTGTAAAGATGCTACAATGGCCATACATGCAAGAAGTGGTCATAGCTTTGAGTGCCACTGAAGCTTTGAATGGTCGCTAAATGAATAGTCATAAATTGAAGACTGTATAGCCTGTGTGATATGAGAAAACCACATTAGAGAAATGTAGCACCTCTTACGTTTTGCAGCATTCTGAAGGGAAATTCCAGATAATACTGAGAATCAAAGGAGGATCAATCATATTTCAGATCCACACATCAAGTTAAATCATTGCATAGTAGCACGTATTTCACCTGAGCCTTGTTTCTCCTTTATGCACCACAAAAAGCTGCTCATGTAGGGTGAAGCAAAGAAGAAGAATCCAATGCTCAGTCTAAATCATTAGTTTTACTGATACCGAAATTCTCAGCTCTCCTAACCAAATCGGCTGAAGGACATTGTTCAAGGTGGTAGTAGTGTTAGCAGGCCAGATTGGAGCCTTTGTAATAATGTGGAATTTGGAGGCCTCGGGTCAGACCACGGTAAGGACATCCCATAATAATGTCAAAGGTTCCCTCCCAGTTGTAAAGGCCATAATATGATGTACATTACTTTTATCATTCTTATTCTTATGTTCTAAGGGTATTTAAGCTGTAATCTTTCTTAGTTCTAGGCTCTTTGGCATTCTGCTGGCCAAGTGACAGTGATCACTCTAGCTTTGTATGTCAGTGAAAGATGCTCTGTTTTATCTTCAGTCCCTCTGCTTCCTTATTTAAAGGGACATGTTCCCCAGAACAAGGTATTCAGGTTATGATGACTCAAACACAGTTGAACACTTTGGGTGCATGTTCTCCTGAATTACACCAAGAGTCACAAGGGACTGAACTGAAAGCAGTTAAGGCAGAGGCTGGTTAGTCCAAAGAGAAAAGGCCACAGGCCTCCCCATTGTCCTAACATATCTAGTCTTGATCACCTGACTTTATCTCCAAGATAATGGGTGAAGGGAAATAGATTTTATACACCTTGAGGCTGTTGTTGGATGGGGTCAGAATAAGAGGAGAGGAAAAGACTAGTTTTATACCAGTACAGCTAATGATGACTTAAGGCTTGGAATCTTATTCATGGTCTGAGGATAAGGTAAAGGTAACCTCATGGTAAAATTGGGGAAATTGGCATTAACAGAGTATGGTTAAGGGCAGCCATGTGATTTAGATTCAGCCAGTCTAAGATATATTGTGTCCCTTCATCAATAAGGATGCAGCTACTATATATCTATTTACTTTAGCCAACTTCTTTCCAATTATCTGTCAGGTTGAAAAGGGGAAAAAACCCTGGATGTGATACTACTATGATTTAACACTCATAAGAAAGCACTTTACAAAATAGTAAAATATCAAGCCATTGATCCTGGGTATTGGCATGGTTCTAAATCAGTAGTTCTCAACCTTTTTAATGCCGCGACCCCCAACCGGTCGTAAGTTGAGGACTACTCAACCGGTTGTAAGTCAAGGACTACTCAACTGGTGCAGCACCATTTGCAGAATGGGACTTTTGGTGGGCTCAGCAGGGCAGAGATAGCCTGGACAATTCCTATTGGCTTTTGAAAGCCAATAGAATTAGACTCTATTCAAGAGAGTCTATTCTATTGGCTTTCAAAAGCCAATAGAATATAAGGGAGTAGCACAGCTAAGGAAAAGGGGGAAAAAATGGCGGACTGCGTTGTTTGGCGACCCCCGTGAAATGGTCGTTCGACCCCAAATGGGGTCCCGACCCACAGGTTGAGAACCACTGTTCTAAATTGTCTACAGAACTTACCTAATTTTCAGTTTTCTAAAACTCGTGTGGCAAATGCAAAGAAGTGATGAGGATGTGGGGATGGCAGGAAAATCTGGTATACATTTCAACATGTACAGCTGTATTCTGTTCTATATAGAATTTTCAAACAATCTAAGCCAACAACCATATCTATCCCCCTTCCCACCAAAAAAAAGAACCCAAAAAAACTGGAGAAGATGAAATCTACAAAGTCCTACACACTTTGGACAACCCGAAGATTGCTTGCCCTTATTTAACAAATATATAAATATATTTTAAAAATTCAAATAAAATAGCACTCATGTCTTTGGGACTTAGACCTATTCAAGGAAAGGTTTCAAACAAAACTCAAAAGGTATCCTAGGAACATACATAATCTCCTTCAGGATTCTGCACATGAAGCCAAAATGTATGACCAGATTGGTTTACTTACGATTATACTTGTAGTGTTATATAGAGAAGCACCGCTGAGGATCAGATCGCATATATAAAGCATGATACCAACTAATGCCATCATAGCACTTGTGATGTTCAATCCTACACTGGCTTGTACCTGAAACATCAATGCACCAGAAGGAGAGAAATTATAATTATGGTGTCAGCATAAGTCTTATTAAATACAAAGCATAAAAATAATTAGCCACAACTGTGGTAAAAACAGTGACAGAGAAATTCTATGAGACTGCTTAATGACAAATAACCAGTCAGTGGTGAAACCAGGCAACATCCACTAAAATCATAGGTATCAAACAGCAGCAGCAACAGGGTTTTCCATGGATTAGAGGCAAACGACACAATTCATTTGAAGGCTTTTCTAACATTGTCAAATTCTTTCTCTCTGTTTCTGGATGTCAGCCTCCACTGAAGGCCAGGTGGTTAACAGTGACAGGAAAACTGGTAAGGTTTATTCACCCAATAACATTCTGGTAAAGAAAGAAATCCCACACTGTTTATTCTAGGACAAAATGCACTCTAAGCGTTAAATGTTAATGTTAAGTGGTCTTCTAGCTATACAACATTACAGAGAGGCAACTAATGAGATGGGAATGGAGAAACCCTTGGAGTCATTTGTGAGAATTCTGAACATTCAAAAATTGCTCTGTTTTTAGTTCTCCTCTGTCAGGAATGTAGTATTTTTCTATCAAGATGGTCGTTTTTCTTCTCTTGAATCCACACTATGTTCCTTTACAAGACAAAAACATTTCTGTGTTGCCATGAACATTTTAAATCAAGGAGAAACAGGGGAGAAGAAAACAAGCTCTTTGCAGGAGGGCTACCATCAGCTCTCTCCTCTATTTGATTCCCAGGATGAGTCCCACACTTGTTCCATACTTTTACTCCTAATACACTGAGCTTTTTTCTAATGTTGCTTTCATGTAGGAATACTGCTGAAATAGGAACCTCTGTCAACATGGAGGAGGGAAAGGAGGAGGAGCTATGTTGGCGATCTGGTTCAAGATAGAGAATGCAGGAAGATATTTCTTTGCTCAGGACTAGCAGTAGCCACTAAGGAAGCTCTTGTAGAACAAGCACCCACGTCACGGTCATTGACTCTCTCAGGCTTCTCTCATTTTTGTCACGGTACTGACAGGACCTGCAGTGTTACAGGTTACACATCAGGAAGGGAACTTGGGAGGAAGCCCATCACAAAATGGGGACCAGGGGAGGCTCCAATTCTGGATGGTTGAACAGTCTCTACTGTTGACATAGAACTTTCAATGGAAGCAAAGTTTGGAAGCAAAAACTGATCAAAGAAGGAAGGTGATAGGACTTTTGTATTTTCTTTTCTTTCCCAAATGTTGATTTAAGCCTGAGCAGTACCTGAAGACAACAGACAATATAAAAGGACCCAAGTGCTTACAAAGAAACAGCATAAAATAAATTCAAATGCTATATAGCTTTCTCACCAAACCACGATTTGGACGGTTTGCAGCCACTACACATAGTGATCCAGAAGAAATGAACTATGGAAAAAGAAACAGAAGAAGATTGATTTTAGTCCACTGGAAATATCAACAGAAAAAAATATCAGATAAACCTGGCACCCATGAGAAGCCAAGGAGGCTCCATTGCAAACAGGACTTCTTTAGGTATCTGTTAGCCATTAACACCTTGGTACATGACTGAATAGAAATTTGCACATACTTACAATTATCCCTCCCCAAAAGGGGTAACCTCCAATTCCAGACAAGTTAAGGTAATACCGTTGAAAAGAAATGAGACAAAGCGAGACAGCCCCAAAACCAATGTGGATCAACCCAATCATGATTTGGATGGCCTACGGTAGGAAAACACACAACATAAGACAAATTCGTTCTCTGAATCAGAGAAAGACAAACATTCTAATTTGTTAGCACCCCAGGAGAGACATCACTTTCTATCCCTCTTTGAAAGGTCCTTGAAAGGGGTTGGGGCTTCTAAGCTTCCAGGGCAGGTGTTGACCCAAGACCTGGGTTCCTATGGTGAAAAATTCAAATGGGGGGGAAGGGACAGTTTGAGACACCATTGTCACTATGTACCTGACATTTAATGTAGATTTATGATATAGCTTATTTATTATTTATTTATGAGACTTATATACCGCTTTAAGTGCAAGCACTCTCTAAGCCAGTGGTTCTCAACCTTTCTAATGCCGTGACCCCATAATACAGTTCCCCATATTGTGGTGACCCCCAAGTGGGTGTGGCCACCAATAAGAGGGAGTAGAACAGCTAGGGAAAAGGGAAAAAATGGCAGACAGTGTGGTTTGGCGACCCCCGTGAAATGGTCGTTCGACCCCAAATGGGGTCCCGACCCACAGGTTGAGAACCACTGCTCTAAGCGGTGTACACTAGTAAGCAATGTATATATATATATGTTTACATTGCCCCCAACAATCTGGGTCCTCATTTTACCTACCCCGGAAGGATGGAAGGCTGAGTCAACCTTGAGCCGGTGAGATTTGAACCGCTGACCTGCTGAACACAGTCAGCTAAAGTGGCCTGCAGTACTGCACTCTAACTGCTGCGCCACCTTGGCTGTAGCTTGACCTACAGTGGAAATGCTCTTGCCAAGAAGAAGGTCTGTATGAATATCAAGATAGGCCGTTGAGAGAGGAACATCACTTCTCTCATTACAGACTCTTCTGCAAGTGGAACTTAAGCATGGTCATAAGCACAAAGCAACTTCAACCGGCTTGGGTTGTAGCCAATCTATGACCAAATTCTTAGGGAGAAATGTCCAACAGTTGCATTTCACAGAGAGAAGGGAGAAATTTTTTTTATAATTTTTTTTTATAAAAGATTCAGAATTTTTTTATAAAAACAGAAAAGAAACTACCAGGAAGAACAGAGGTTTCTGGAGTCTATTCCAAAACCAGAGAAAACCCAAGGCAAGTACAGGACTTCAAAATGGGGCTCTCAGCACTCTACAGAGCTCTAAAATCTTAATGGACTTCAAACAGGCACATAACAAAGCATGCGTACCCCAAGCACTTTGGCCTCAGCACTGAGGAATCTCTCCATAGGACCCTTTTGGAGGACTTGTTGAGGAGCACTGGTGGAAATTCCAAGTTGCTGAGCTCCATACTGAGGATATAGAATTGCTCCGGATGCCTGAAGAGCAACACCGGGCAATCCAGGGGCCGTTTGGATTACGTTTGGTCCATTAGAAGGGATGACAACTACGGTTCCACTGGCCATTTTTGCTGTAAGTATTGCTACAGCTCAGTTTCCTGCAAACAAACAAATGAGGAAAGTTAATGTCTTAGCACAGGGGTCCCCAACCCCAGGTCCATGGTCCGGCACCTGCCCACAGCATGCCAGAAACCAGTCCGTGCAAACAAGCAAAGCCCCGTCTGTGGGATGCAGGCAGTACATGAAACCACGCCCCCTCTGGTCTGCAGAAAAACCTCTCTCCACGGAACCTGAACCGGTCCCTGGTGCTCCAAAGGTTGGGGACCTCTGTCTTAGCATCAAGGAGGCAAAGCCTGGTCCTTGTCCTTAATCTCACATTATGAGACAACATTTGCCTGCATTAAAACTGCAGAAGATTGCCAGGCAGCTTCACAGAGCAGGGTACTAAACACATACAACTTTCTTAAGGATAAAAATCTTCCCTTTCCCCACCGTTCAGCCAGAACCAAAGAAGCCTCTTTGTTGAGAAGTGAAATATTTTCAAGGAAAAAAACAAAAATAATTCCAGTTGCCTTTTGAAAAGCACCTGGGGGACAACCATGACCTGGAGGATTGAGAATCTCCATAAATATCAGGGAGAAAAAGTTAATCAGAACATGATTATATTCCATTTTTCAATGCAAAAAAGCACCACCTCAGATCCACCCATTTGACAAAGGTTTTATTGTACTTGCCCTCTTCTCCTGTTACTGGCAAAATGGATTAAAGGTATCAAGCATGGATGATCGTGCTGATTGCCATCTTCCATCAAGTTCATACTCATTTGGATAGAACTGCTGCTTTACAGTAACTTACTACCGGGCCGTGGTCTTTGCGCAAGGGCTGCATGCGTGCGTGCGTGCGTGCCTGCCCGCCGCTCACGCAACCCAGTTCCCTACTCACCCACTAGCTGGGCCAACAATCTACAAAGGTTGTAAACCGCTGCTTTACAGAAACTTGTTTCCAACCTCTGCAGCTTGGAGACCCGGTTGGGAGGGGCGGGGAGAGAGAGAGGGGGAGGGAACCGGTCCAACTCCGAAAAGGCCATGGCCCGGGGGTTGGGGACGGCTGCTGCAAAGGATATAAGAGCAGGGATCTGTATCCCAGCTTTGCTTCACCGATATGTTGAAGCTTCTTTTCAGAACACAACTGGAGCATCAGCCTGGGTTTCCTAACAAAACTCCGGGCAACCTCAGAAAACAGTGAAGCGATAAAGTCCCAACTGCTATCGACACCTAATAACCCACCGGATTTTTAAAACCCTGACCCAATGGCCCGAATTAATCCCAGCAGTTAGGATTTGTACAGACCTTAAGACGAAGCTACGTCCTTCTTGAGCGGCATTAACTGGAAGTCAAAATTAATGGAACTCGACCCACCCACAAACTTTTGAACGGTGAACTTCAGATATTGAATCTTTGTAAATCTACAGGGCGCCTGTGTGCGTATTAGGCACTTCCATCATGGCAAGATTGATCGTAAACTTTTTCCTGTCCGCTAATTCTCCTCTTAAATGCTCCCGTCTAGAAGACCTGCAGTGACCGTGAGGCTGAGAAGACTGCGGGTGGATGGCTGAAGGGGAGAAGCGGCAGGCACAGGATGGTCCACACATTATTTCCATATTATTGTTTAAAAATAGTAATCAGAATCTACTCACGACAACCGCTCAAGACGAGATATACGGATGCACTAAGGAACACGTAAGTAACTACTTAAGGGAAACAAGTGGAGGGTGGGGTTCCGTCGCTTACTACGGTAAAAGGAGGGATTTACTCATAGCTTAGTCGAGGAGTCCTGAAAAAACTTCTTTTTCCTGCTTAACTGTTGCAACAAAGAAATGTTTATGGCCAGGAACCTTTTGCTTATTCAGAGACGAGAAGAAAATTATCCAAGTTTACAAGGTCCTGCTATTCCCAGGCTAAAACGAATCACTGAAATCAAACGCATCCCTCGAACTTACTTCCTCCCAAAGTAGCAAGTCCCACGCTTGAAGGAACTCGTTTTTAACCCCTCGGAGTCTTCTACAACCTTTCAAGGAATCGCCGAAAAAGAAAAACAAGAGGACGCGCGTCCTCCGAACCTCTAAGTAGACCTAGTGAGCGGAGAGGATTTTTTTTTTCCACAGGCGCTCTCTAACTTTCGGCTTGCTCTTTTTGGCCTTTGAACAGGCAAAGACGCAACGGCGTGAAGGGGAGGCTGGAGGGAGTCCTCCCAGCCCCCGACTGCGCTCCTTGCGGAACTCTCCCTGGGAACCTCCGAGGCCGCTGAAACATCTGGACTACCATATCGTTTGGCTACTAAGCAGATGCCAAAGGCAAATCACCTCCGTGCATTGGCAAAGTTAGCATATAGATTAATCTGTTATGGTTCCTTTTGCACTTATTTAAACTGAGCATTTGCTTTTGGGTTGACTACTCCCTAGTATATAGAGAAATTTCTCCATTGGAGAGTCCCCCATTCTTTCACACTGCATGTTACACTGGAGCGCCCTCTAGAGTCCTGATCCTCCTATTGGTAGTTTGTATTGGCTTGTGTGACGATGCATGTGGAGCAGGTGGCTTCAACGCTATAGTGTTTTGGAAAGGGAGACAGCTTCTGCGACCCCCCCCCCCTGAGCTATGCTATTCCCAGATTTCATCTTTTTAAAAAGCTGCTTGTCGTTATCTCTTCTAGATGCCAAGATAATTTCCCTATATTATGATATTGGCTTTTCAGTCTTTAGTTCAACTCCTAGCAGTTCATGTCAAGGGGAAATTAGACAGGTCCTGGGCAGGTCAGTTACCTGACACAATGGCAAGAAGAAACCCAAAATATTTTGGCTATTTCAAGAAAGCCAAGTATTCATGTAATGGTTCTCAGCCACTTATTCATACTGGTCAAGTCGAGAGGTGCTATTCGTATTGGCTTTCCAATAGAGACTCAAATCTATTGGCTTTCAAAAGCCAATAGAATAGGGAGTAGCACAGCTAAGGAAAAGGGGAAAAAATGGCAGACTGCGTTGTTTGGTGACCCCCGTGAAATGGTCGTTCGACCCCAAATTTGGTCCCGACCCACAGGTTGAGAACCACTGATGTAAACCATATGAGAACTGGAAATAAAATTGAATTATGAAAAACACAGACGTTTTCAATTTGTGAATAAACCAGGGAAATGGTTATCTTATAAGCTGTATAATGGAAGTAAAATATGAAACTACAGTGGAGATTATGTATTGATTAACAATGTGGCTATATAAAATATTATTTAATTTATATAAAGCACTTGTTTTTCCACTGGAGAAAACAACTGAGTAACAGAAATACTAATACTGAGTAAAGGAAACAAAGAAAAAGAAAAGATAAAAGTGCAGAAAGAAAAGAGTAAAAAAGAAAAGCTTCCTATTTTCTTTGCAGCAAATATAAACATCATTAAAAAATCATCTTACTCTATGATTACAAAAATAGTCATTTTTTCTGTTTATGTTTTCTAATTATCAAAAAAATCTAGTCACAAGTACATTTTATGAGTCCTGATGGTACAATGGTTAAAGTTCAGTATTGCAGCCAAACTCTGCCCACAGTCTAGAGTTTGATCCTGATGGGGCTCAAAGTTGACTCAGCCTTCCATCCATCCAAGGTCAGTAGAGTGAGGACCCAGATTGTTGGGGGCAATATGCAAATAATGCTTCAACATTGTAAACCACCCAAAGTGTGCTGTAAAGCCTTAAGGGGTGGTGTACTTCTCAACTTACGACCACAGTTGAGCCCAACATTTTTGTTGTTAAGTGAGACATTTGTTAAGTGCTTTTCCCCCACTTTGCGACCTTTCTTGTCACCATTGTTAAGAGAATTACTGCAGTTGTGAAGCTAGTAACACGGTTGTGAAGTGAATCCAGCTTCCCCATTGACTTTGCTGGTCAGAAGGTCGCAAAAGGGATCACATGACCCAGAGACATTTCAACCGTCACAAATATGAGTCAGTTGCCTAGTGTGAATTTTGATCACATGACCTTGGGGATGCTCCAATGGTCATAAGTGTGAAAACGATCAGTCACTTTTTTTAGTTCCGTTGTAATGTTGAACAAATACTAAATGAACTGTTGTAAGCTGAGGACTACCTCTGTAAGCCTAAATGCTATTGCTTATGCTATTTTTTCTGTTTCATATAAAAAGGCACATTAACATGTTTGGTGGACATGTGCCAAAGCGAAGAGTTATTGGAAAAATATACATGCCTGGCTAGAAAAGATGTTGGGAGAATACGTAGATTTTAAAACTGAACATTTTTTGTTAGGTACAATGCCAGAAAAGACTGGTAAACAAAGCATATATTTGACTTTGCATGTTATAACAGCGGCAAGAATTATACCATATATGCCGGCGTATAAGACGACTTCCGGAAGCGCTAAACTCGGCACCAAAGACGGGGGTCGTCTTATACGCCGAGTCGTCTTATACACCGGAAATACTGGTAGTTTCCGGCGTATAAGATGACATTCTAGGAATGCGGCTCGGCGATAAAGACGGGGGTCATCTTATACGTCAGGTCGCCTAATATGCCGGCATATACGGTATTTGCGCAATATTGGAAAAAATGAAGGAATACCATCAGATGAAGAAATAATTTAAAAAATATTAGAATGTGCAGAGATGGATAGACTGACTTTGAGACTGACAGAAAAAGAAGAAACAGAATATTATCAAACTTGGGACTTATTTTATCAATGGCTTGAGGAAAGAATAAAGTATTAAGAACTAAATATGTATTTAGCGAATGTAAACTCAAGAGAGCACGTTTGTTGAATAAATACCATTGAATGTATGGGGGTAAAATCAATAAAAACCTTTAAACAGGAAAAACGTTTTGTAATGTTTTCTGATCCGCCTTCTCCATAAGTTGTCCTCTAAATTCATCTTCTATGGGAGGAAGGATACTTGAGAGAGAAAAAATTTCAGGCAACCTAGTTTCCCAGATCAAATAAGCTGCCTATTGGACCTTTTCACTTCCTAGTCCAAATCTGCCTCCTCTGAAAATTACAACTTTCCAGCATTAAATTATAATTGAAATATGTATGGTATGGGAGCAGCTCTGTAGCGGACAAAAAAGCTCTACAGAGAATTATTAAAACTGCCCAGAATATTATCGGACTCCAGCTACCAGCCCTGGACAACATCTTCAAATCTCGTTGTTTGAGGAAGTTGCATAACATTCTCAGAGACTCTCCCCATCCTGCTTACAATCTCTTTGGACTGTTGCCTTCTGGCAGAAGATATAGAACATTTAAAACTCGGACCGCACGTTTTCTGAATAGTTTTTATCCCACAATAATGAACTAAAGGGCCACCATCAGTGAACTGTTGGACAGTATTACTTGGTCTGTTGGGTGGATGTTTGGGCGGTTTTAGGGGTGGGGAATTATGGTGGGTGGGAGTGTGTTTGGGGATTATGTGTGTGGGACCTGGTCTTTGGGTGTCATCTAAATTTCGTTGTATGTGTATACTGTATACACATACAATGACAATAAAAAGTTTATTATAATTATTTATTTATAAATTAATGAAAAAATATAAAATAAAAAGACCATAATGATGCAAGTACACACGAGAGTTGGCAAACTCAAAATATATTAGCCTTTTTAACAATAACAACACATGCTGAAAAAAAATCAATTTCATTTTCATTTTAGAAGTTGCAATTCACATTTTAGGTTGATCAATCCCTGTATGTCATCTGTCCCGGCATTAGAAGTTATCAATAGAAGCTAACATTCATATTCATAATCCCTTACATATTAGTAAAGTTGGAAGGGACCTTGGAGGTCATCTAGTCCAACCCCCTGCTCGGGCAGGAAACCCTACACCATTTCGGACAAATGGCTGTCCAGTCTCTTCTTAAAAACTTCCAGTGTTGGAGCATTTACTGCTTCTGGAGGCAAGCTGTTCCACTGATTAATTGTTCTCACTGTCAGGAAGTTTCTCCTTAGTTCTAGGTTGCTTCTCTCCTTGATTAGTTTCCACCCGTTGCTTCTTGTCCTCCTTCAGGTGCTTTGGAAAATAGCTTAATTCCCTCTTCTTTATGGCAGCCCCTGAGATATTGGAATACTGCTATCATGTCCCCCCTTGTCCTTCTCTTCGTTAAACTAGACATACCCAATTCTAACCGTTCCTTATATGTTTTAGCCTCCATCCCCTAATCATCTTTGTTGCTCTTCTCTGTACTCTTTCTAGAGTCTCAACATCTTTTTTACATCGTGGTGACCAAAACTGGATGCAGTATTCCAAGTGTGGCCTTACCAAGGCGTTGAAGAGTGGTATTAATACTTCACGTGATCTTGATTCTATCCCTCTGTTAATGCAGCCTAGCACTGTGTTGGCCTTTTTGGCAGCTGCAGCACACTGCTGGCTCATATTTAGGTGATTGTCTACTAGGACTCCAAGGTCCCTCTCACAGTTACTACTATTGAGCATGGTGGTCGGAGGGTCATAGTTTTCACTAAGCTCTCATTCAGGTTCAGTTACTGAACCTGACAGGGACATACAGTATCCTGAGCATGTTTCACGTCCTTTCCTCCAGTTAGGGAGATGGTTCAAAAGTATGCTGATAGGATTTTCTTCCTCTGCATAGCTGCTCTCTACTTGGAGCTGCCCTAAGACTAAATTGCAGAGAAAAAGTCCCAATTACTCCCTAACTGGATGTTTGGAGGAGGAGGAGGGGGGGGGGGTTTGAAAGAGGGCTGGAGTGGCTGATTAAACTATCATTCAACATTAGTGTTCTTGAAATAACCAGCCTGTGAGTCCATTGCAAAAATCAGTGGCCCAGCATGCAGATCCCTTCATGGAGTGCTGTGTCTACAGAGGTCCTGCTCTTCTACTTTTTCTGACCAGAAGAGAAAGACCATTAAGCAGCAACCTGGTCACAAAAACAGCCTCATAGGCTAACCTGCCAATTGGGCCTTCACCCCCCCACCAATCCAGGGTTGACAGGAAGGTCATTTTACAGAGCTCTTGATCTATCATTAGCACAGCATCAAGAGTGGTAGAGAAAGCAGTAAAGAATTATCTTCCTAGAGCGACCTGCCTGTCAGTCACATAGGAAGGGAGCCAACCCACAGAGCAACTGGCCTGCTGGTAAACTAAAACTGTGATGACAGGGAGGCGGTCCATAGCAGTTCTGGTTTATGATTTTCTGTAGTCTTGGTGGGGCTGCTCTTCTCCTGGGATCATGTCTGTCCAGCATCACAACCCCAGATGCCCCTGGAGGGAAGTCAGCAGCAATCATATCAGTGAAGGAGAAGTTGAAACATTTTATGTCCAGGATGTGAAGGGTCTGTAGATATTTTCACAGTACTCTGTCTTGTGTATTGTACAGGTCCTCAGTGGAAGGCAGGCTAATAGCAAGTCTTTTTTCTGCAATCCTAACTGGAAGCCTGTGTCTGTCTTTTCTGTAGCATCAGATCTCCTACTTAATTCCATATTTGTCATAAAAAAACAAATAAATAAAAACAGAAGAGTAATAAACAGCTTGCATCATCCAGTGTAGGAAATCTACTTCCTCATAAATACGCTGATAAACAAATTCTTGCTTCTTGGGAAGCGTTATAACAATTAAGTACAATCGAAGGACTTTTAAAATTTGCCATCATTTCATTTATTGTTTAAAGGCTGTAACTGAAAAATAAACAAGCAAGCTGGAGGACAAAATAAAGGAATATGAAATACATTGCTTCTCCTGAAGCCTCTGTTGCCAACAATTCTCACGTTTCCTTTTTGTTTTACTGAGATTCAGTAACCACTTTATCATAGGTTGGTGGAGAAGGAGGAGGATTTGGTTCATATATCGGGCACAATTCACTTAACTGCCTCATTGAGCTATGGATGGTCTGGTCCAAATTGCAGTCATAAGTAGACAACTACAGGTATTGTATCAATGATATGTTTTATTAATAGTGTTTTAATTTTAGTAGCTGTTTTTCTTTTCTGTAACATCAGATCTCCTACTTAATTCCATATTTGTCATTAAAAAAACCCATCTAGAATATGAACATAAGTGTAATAAACAGCTTCCATCATCCAGTGTAGGAAATCGACTTCCTCATAAATACGCTGATGATTTGCAGCACAAATTCTTGCTTCTTGAGAAGTGTTCTAGCTATTAAGTAAACTAGAAGAACTTTTAAATTTGCCACCATTTAATTTGATGTTTAAAGGTTGTAACTGAAAAACAAACAAGGAAGCTGGAGGACAAAACAAGGTAACACATTGCTTCTCCTGAAACCTCTTCTGCAACACTTCTCACATTTCTTTCTTGTTTTACAGAGATTTGGTAAACACGTTATCATAAGTCGGTGGAGGAGGAGAAGGATTTGGTTCAGGTGTGACTGCTCCATCTTCGATGACTTGGTAAGGCACAAAATGCATGGTTGGCTGCAACAGAAAACAACAGTCAATACAAAACATACTCAGGGAGGCACCTATTACTCTGGGTAGGAGAAATAGATTCTCCACTTGTGTGTAGTTAACTGTGAGGCACCTATTACTCTGGGTAGGAGAAATAGATTCTCCAGTTGTGTGAGTTAACTGGGAGTCTCACCAACAGGCTGAAATCCTTGATAGGATAAAGTCCTGATAGAGAATTCTTTAAAACTATAAATTAACACGCAAGTGATTTTGGGCCAGAGCATTTAAGTGACTTTTTCTGATTGAATCTGCCAGCCTTATCCACACATTCAGAAAATGTGTGCTCAGGATCTCCCACCTACCAAGAGGTGTGACAGGAAGACAATTCCCTCACCACAGTGAGGGTTCGCTGTATAGAATAGATGGCCTTCTGAAATAAGGATGTGTCAACCGGGATGGTCCTCTGGAAAGTGGTAAGAGAAGTGAACTGGCTTCTTCTGAGGACCTTTGGGGACTGATTTTATTTTGTGCATTAGTTTTTTTCTTTTTTAAATATAGTTTATTATTATTATTTTTTTAGAATAACAATCTTTAGTGCTTAGTAAACAATATGTTGTCTGGGTTCATATATTTAACAACAGTCAATAATAGTTAATTTCTATGCTTTCATAATCAACATGCTAACTAGCAATACCTTTCCTTGGTGTTCTCTTCTTCCAATAGCATTCTCCTTTTACCAACATTGAGCAAATATAGTTCTTAATACTATCAATACATACGAAGTTAAATATAAACATTTTTCTAGTATTTAACAGTAACATCAGTATGTAAGGTCTTTTCTAATCAGCTTATTTTACATTTGCATTTGCAAAAAATCATCTTATGTAAATTGCTATAGGTGCTGTTTTCATAACTCTTATTAAAGCTTAGTTTCCTCTCAGTATTCAAAACATTTCTTGTCAGTTATAATTTTCTCAAAACTGATTATATTTAAATATCCAAAATATTTCATACATTCAAATCATCCCAATATTTTTACATTTCCCATATCATAGGAAAAAAATACTATACTACTTATAAATCACATCTCTCTTACTATAAAACCCTTTTATATCCAAAATTTGAGGGGGAGTTTCACCTATATTTCTCTTTTCATTTTTTGTCTCCCAAATTCTGGTGATTCTCCTGACAGCTCTATTGTCCATTTTATCAAATCTTCTTTCTTATCTTCAAAAGTTTGTTTGAAATTCTGAAAGATGAAATGTCTTTTCCATTTCCAATGTTATACCAAAATCTTGCAAATTTTTCTTTGTCTGTGTTAAGCTATAATTTTCTTCATTTGTAGCCTCCATCTTTGGATCACTTTCCTTTAGTTTTTGTTCTATTATCTGATTTATTTGTTCATTCTTTGTCTCCATTTTCTGAGAATTTTTTTATTGTGAGCTTAGGTCAATGTGCTCATTTATATAATCAAAATTATTTTTAATCTCATTATGATTTGAATCAATTGTCATTTGAATTAGTTGCAACATAACATACATTTCCTCCTGCAAGATATTTTTCTTGTCTTGAAGTATTACTCCTGCAGATCTCTGATGTTCCAGACTGGGGATTTTGGAAAAGAATATTGTATGTGGTTTCTTACCACTTTTAGTTGTATACACAACCTCCATTTTTATCAAACCAGCCAGTCTTAAATTCCAAGCACTATAGTTTTATATGTCTCTTATCTTTATAAACAGTCCAAAATGTTCAACCACTTAAAAACAATCGGTAATTTCCCTTTTAGAGGAATAGCCAAAAAATCAAAAGTTTTTCTTTCTCTGCAGACAATTCTTAAACTTAAATATCACAGCTCAGTAAGTGTTTATTATCCAAGAAAGTCAGCAGTTTCCATAACAATTGTATTTCTCATACTGCAATAGATAGCTCAGTGTATTTTCTTTCCTCTATTCCCAACTGTTCTCTGTTTAGCTAAGGATCACTGAGGATCAAAGGGATAAATTGTGCTCTGTTTCTGGGCATCTTGCCAATTTCTGAGGCAGGATAGCTGTAGTTCTATACTCTGTTCCAGCTATGTCAGTAGCTGTTTATTTTCCAATTTTTAAAACAAAAAGATTATTTTCTTATAATTTCATCAATATTCTTTTAAATGATAAATCTTAATAATTTCCATAGTTTTCAGTTTTATCTAAATTATACATTTACATTAGTCCATTTCAATGTGTTTCTGTCCCTCATAAAAATTAAATCGCTCCTTCCGTCTATGAAAGTGTGGGGGTTGTAGTCCTCTTCCTTCTCACTTTCAGAGGGTTTTTTTTTCTTCTTGGGGATCTTTTTCCAGGAAATCAGTTTCAAAGTATAGAAGATCAATATTCTCACCCAGCTCCAACACACTGTTCACAGTGTTCTTGGTGCTTTTGGAGTTTAGATGCCTATAGCTTGGGCTGGTCACCAGAGTGCAGCTAGCCTTTCGCCTGTCGGGTTGGAGGGCTTTCCCTGGATCAAATGGATCGACTGCCATCTTTCCATGATCGACCAGGAGGGCTCCTTCTTCATCACTTCTCCAGGGCGACTTTAGATCCATTTAGGGTCCCCAGGTAGGGCAAAAACAGCCTTGGGGTGCAGAGCTCTGCAATCCCTTGACCGCATCGCTACGATGCAAAACCAGAAGCCCCTTGTGCATCAGTTTTTATTGCAGTTATGTATTGCTTGTATTTTATGTTTCTGTATTCATATGGTTACTGTGTTGTTGTAAACCTCCTGGGGTCCAGCTTGAGGAGCATATAAATAAATAAATAAATAATATTCTTGTCATTTGTTCAAAAAAGGTATCAGATTATTATTTTAAGAATTTAAAGACCCGAAGAAGATGCATTTCCCTCCAGGGAAGATTATTTTTTGGTGTCTGAAATGGTTTCAACTGGCAGTTGCTGTGAACCAATACAGATGCCAATAAAGGAGACTATTTGTAGCTCAGGGTTGAAATGAGAGGACCTTTATGCTCTCAGAGCTTGGTTGTTTTATTGCAGATATTTTGCTACCCAAATAATAAACCTGCATGGATGATGTTACCTAATTTGACTAATGAAATGTCTGCTAGAAAACAACCAAGCTAGAGAGCACCAAGGTCCCCAAAACAGGTATTGTTGCATGTTAATTTAGCTCTTTTTAGAGTTCTTCTGTTTATTCAGGTCCAACCATATTCACCCCTTTCAGTCTTTGTTCTCTCCCATTTTCTTCCTCTCAAACTAATCAGAAGCATTTCTGAAAGGTTGAGAGTATGTTTGTTATTGGTACAAAAGGAAGCCAATTGTCGCTTCTGCCAAACAAAGGGACAGACGTGGCTTTCTGACCCACCACAGAACTTGCCAATGCACAATGGAGGCACTTGGTTGGTAATTCAATTGTTTTCAACTGGTTTTTTTCAAAGGCTTTTGTAGCTCTGTTAGAATACCTTTATTACCACATCTACATTTGGAGATCTTAGGTAGCATACGGTAATCATGTATTCAGCTGTTGGTCTGAGAATTAAAAATGTTATTTTTTAAAAAATGAAAAAGACCTATTTTTTTTTCCAAACAATGGTAGCATTGTGAGAAAACATGATCAAGTGACAGATGCTTTAAATTAATGTAGTCACACTACTAAAGTAAATATATGCATTTAGAACTGAGCCTTCTTAAATGAGGACATGAACGTCTGCATCATAAATTAAAAAGAGACAACACAAACTGTGTTGCATTCATGGCATTCCCTCTCTAGCAAAAGTGAAGCTAGGAAAAAATTGTGTCATCTAATTATTCATATGCAGAAGCAAATAACCACAGGGTGTTGGATTAAAATTCAAGCTTCTCTTAGTTATAAATGTTATTGAGTAACCTGAGTAGCCAATCTCACTTATTCTTCAGGGTAATAGCAAAGAAACAAGCAAAAGGTCAGGTTAGGTGGAGTGTAAATATAACAAAGAAAAGTGGACAATCTTCTTCTTTAACTTCTTTAACAATAAGAACTGCTAAAGCTGTTCTTGAAGTATCACATATTTACCTGGGCATCAGAACAGCAAGTTGCCTGGCACCCGAAGTGTGCAAGGGAAACAGCAATGCAAAATTCCAACAGGCTGAACAAGAGCAGCACAATGGAGAGGCCATAACCGACATTCTATAGAGTATGGAGACATGTGGAAAGATAGTTTTAATCTGCTGAGAAGCTAATGTAGCGGTACGTATTTTATTTTATGTGCTGCACCATTAAAAGGGACTGGGAGGAACAATTGTACTAGGAAAAACAGAGACAGTGTATAGGTAATCCTCGACTTATAACCACAATTGGGATCAGAATTTCCATTGTTAAGCAAGGCAGTTGTTAAGTGAGTCATGCATAATTTTACATTTCTTGCCACTGTTGTTAAGCAAATCGCTGCAGTTAAGGGAATCCTACGGTTGTTAAGTGACTCCAGCTTCCCCACCGCCATTGTCTTTGCTGATCAGAAGCTGGGAAAGTCGTAGAGGGGATGCTGCAAGTGTCCTAAATACATTCCTAGTAGCCAAGCCAAGTTTTAATCATGTAACTGTGGGGATGGTCGTACATGTGAGGAGTGGTCATAGCTTTGAGAGCCACTGACTCTTTGAATGATTGCTAAATAAACAGTTGTTTGTTCAATTAAAGACTGCCTGTACAGCTTGTGAGATAGGAGAAAACCACACCAAGGAACTTTAGCACTTCTTATGCTTTGCAGCATTCTGAAGGGAAATTCAAGATAACACTGAGAATCAAAGGGGGATCAATCATATTTCAGATCCACACATCAAGTTAAATCATTGCACAGTAGCACGTATTTCACCTGAGCCTTATTTCTCCTTTATGCACCACAAAAAGCTGCTCATGTAGAATGAAGCAGAGAAGAAGAATCCAATGCTCAGTCTCTAAATCATTAGTTTTGCCCATGCAGAAATTCTCAGCTCTCCTAACCAAACCGGTTAAAGCAGGGGTCCCCAACCACTGGTATGCCTGCAACCGGCCCACAAAAGCAAGCAAAAGCCCCATCTGTGGGATGCAGGCAGCATACAAAACCACACACCCTCCAATCCATAGAAAAACCTTTCTCCACGGAACCAGTCCCTGGTGCCGAAAAGATTGGGGACCTCTGGGCTAAAGGATATTGTCCATGCTAGAAGGTGGTAGCAGAAGAAAGCCAGATTGGAGCCTTTGTAAGAATGTGGAAGTTGAAGGCCCCAAGTCAGACCATGGTAAGGACATCCCATAATAATGTCAAAGGTTGCCTCCCAGCTGTAAAGGCCATAGTACGATGCACATTATTTTATCATTATTATGTGATAGCTCTAAGGCAGGGGTGTCAAACTGCTGGCCCACAGGCCAGATGCATCATAAACAAACTGCACCCACTCCATGGTATTTAAGCCATAAACTTTTCTTAATTCTAGGCTCTTTGGCATTCTGGCCAGGTGACCAGTGATCACTCGAACTTTGCATGTCAATGAAAGATGCTCTGTTTTATCTTCAGTCCCTCTGCTTCCTTATTTAAAGGGACATGTTCCCCAGAACAAGGTATTCAGGTTATGATGACTCAAACACAGTTGATCACTTTGGGTACATGTTCTCCTGAATTACACCAAGAGTCACAAGGGACAGAACCAAAAGCAGTTAAGACAGAGGCTGGCTAGTCCAAAGAGGAAAAGCAACAGGCCTCCCCACTGTCCTAACATATCCAGGCTTGGGTGAAGGGAAATAGATTTTATACACCTTGAGGCTGTTGTTGGATGGGGTCAGAATAAGAGGAGAGGAAAAGACTAGTTTTATACCAGTACAGCTAATGATGACTTAAGGCTTGGAATCGTATTCATGGTCTGAGGATAAGGTAAAGGTAACTTCATGGGAAAATTGGGGTAATTGGCATTAACAGATTATGGTTAAGGGCAACAATGTGATTTAGATTAAGTCAGTCTAACACAGTGATGGCGAAACATTTAGAGATTGAGTGTCCAAAAACTGGCTCTCTTTCCTCTCTCTTTCTTTCCTCTCTTTCTCTTTCTCTCTCTTTCCTCCCTTTTTCTCTCTTTGCTCGTTCTCTTTCTTCTTTCTCTTTTCTCTCTTTCCTCTCTCTTCTCTTTCCTCTCTCTTCTCTCTCTCCCTCTTTCCCTTTCCTTTTTCTCTTTCCTCTCCCGTTTCTCTTTCCTCTCTCTTTCCTGTCTTTCCTCCCTTTCTTTCTCTTTCCTCTCTCTTTTACCTCTTTCTTTTCCTCTGTTTCTCTCTCTTTCCTCTCTCTCTTTCTCTCTCTCTCTTACAGCAGCATCATTGGGGGTCCCTGCTGCCCTCGGCCCGGCCTCTGCTGCGTCCTCAGCCGAACGGGCGGGGAGGGGGAACAGGACGGGAGGCAGAGGCTTCTTTCTCTTGAGAATGGGGGGGGGTCTTGGGACACACAGGAGTTCTGTGCGCTGGGCAGCGGCCACCTCTTTTGCCCCGAGCAGATTTGGGCCAGGCGGCAGCGGTGAGAGTGGGAGCGGCCGCCTCTGCCAGTTGCGTGGCCCGGCACATTTCTCTGCGTGGCTGGAAGCTTTGGTCGGGCACCAGGCCTCGCCGCCGTGTGGGCTCAGTCCAGTTGCCAGGAGCGGCGGCAAGTCGTGGGGTCTGCAAGTCCCGGGCCTCCAGCAAGGGCGAGATCGTGGGCGAGAGATCAAAGTGCCCATGACAGGAAGGAGCCAAAGCTTCCTAGATGCCCTGGCTGAAGGGGGCGACCTTCCTGCCCATCCTGGCCGAGGGTCCTCCTGGGCTGCTTGAGAGGCGCCTCTGGGACCATCAGAAGAGCCGCCCGGCACCCCTCAGCACTCCCTCCTACCGCCACCCCTGCGTCAAACTTGCCGTGCTCCGGCCTCAGCTCCCCGCCCTGTTCCCGGGCCGGCCGCAGTTTTCCGCCTCACAGAACCTCACCTAGCCTCTTTTCCTGAAGCCGGCAGCGGGCCAGCCTGTCCGTTGAGATGCCGCCGGGGGAGGGAGCACTGCAGGGAGAGTCAGGCGAGAAGGGGCTGTGCTCGGCAGCGATGTGGAGGGAGGCCACGGCCCGTCGCTCTGGAGGACCGCTGCCAGAGCTCAGTGGCAGGGCTGGCCTGTGCTGCGCTTTCCGTTTCCCTGCGAACTCTGCCCCCAAAGCCCGGGGCAGGAAGGCTGGAGCTTCGGAAGGCCCGGAGGCCGCTGGAGGTGTTGTTGACAACTGTGAGCATCAGCAGGTGTGTTGGTTCTGTTGTGGATGTGAGGCAGAGGCGCTCCGGAGTGTTTGTATGTGTGTGTGGGGGGGCAGTTCGAGTTCAGCAGGCATGTAAACAACTCATTAGTTTGAAATCACGTCCATCGCTCCTGCTTGGTTGGCCCTTCTCTGTTTTGAAGGCAAGAAGTGATTCCTGCAGAATGAAAGGCAGGTTTTATCATGAAAATCCACAATTCTATAGCTGAAGGCCCTGGCCGCACTTCTCCCAGGGAGTGGGGCACCCGGGCGCAGGGCCAATCAGGAGCCCTGCAGGAGGTAAGTCCGCTGAGAGAGAGAGAGAAGGGAAGTGAAAGTGCCTCTCTGTCTCTCTCTCTGCAAATGGCGGCGGAGGCCATGCGAAGATGGATGCGGAGCGGTGTCTCGGTTCCTAAGACCATCGGAAATATGTGTTTTCCGATGATCTTAGGCGACCGCTGTGAAAGGGTCGTTCGACCCCCAAAAGGGTCGTGACCCACAGGTTGAGAACCGCTGCTGTAGGGGCAACGAGCAAGGAGAGGACCCCCGCTTGATCACGGAAGGGCACCAGCCCTTCCGCTTGATCCGGGGCAGGTCTTCAATCTGATGGGGAAAAGATCAGCCATAGTAATATGGCTCGTCAGTAAGCTGCTGACAGCCGAAGTCAAATTTACTACCAAGCACTTTGAAAGCAACGCAGATGAAAGTGGGTGAAATCTTATCTTCTCTTTACTCTAAGAACCTTCTTCCAGTGAAAGCTCTTTGAAGTATCTTCCCCTGTGAGGAGAGAGGGAAGGGAATTTCTATCCCACCCTCTAAGAATGGCGGCGTCTGACTACCCAGGGGAATCAAGCATTAAAAAGAACAATTCTAATCAAACTGGACTTACATGCTTCTGAAACTTGGGGACCCAAAAGTGTCCTACTTTTATTGCAAATTTTTGTTACTATCTACAAAAAAGAAATAAAATTGGAAAAGAACCTAGAAAAATTCGGGACTTAAAAATCTTAAATGCTTCTAGTGACTTCTTGTAGTGAAGCTTGGTATGGCAATTTATTATTTCCTAAAAAGAGACTTGGCTCATAGCCCAGACCTAGATAAGACTTGTCTGACCTTGGCACTATCGAAGAGAGATTCAATTGTAAAAGAACAGCTGGGCAGTGAAATTGGCCTACTTGAGCTGTGAAGGCAAACTCTTACTGACTTTTGTCTAACAAACAACTTTTACTGAAAGATTGTTCACAAATACACGAAAGAGATGGATGAAGACCAGAAAAAAATCCTCTCCATGCTAAAAGCAATACATGAAACTATCCTTTCAGCTTGTGAGAAAATGAGACCTAAAGTAAAAGACCAAGATACCAGCTTAGATGCACAAAGTCAAATTTTGATTGCAACTGAAGAATCAACAGTGTAGAAGATAACAGAATAAGTGGAACAACTAAGTATTAAGACAGAGGATTCAATTGACCAACAAGTACAGTTGATGGATAATTCAGACAAGGAACTGACAACATTGAAAATGGAAATGACTTTCTATACAAACCAGAAGGAATATGAGAAAGAAGAACAAATTGAATTGAAGATAAATGTATCAGAGCAAATATGGGGGACTGGAATAACAGGGTGACAATTTAATGATACAAATGGGCCAGTCCTTCTAGAAAACTGGCAATCAAATAGTCTCCTTTAATTCAAATAACATATATAAAAATGGAGGGAGATGTATTTGATGATGTAAAAGCGCTGACATAGAAGCCTGGTTGGCAAAGGAAGAAAGCAAGAATAAGGTTGAAAAATTGGGGTTTTAATTAGAGGGGATTTTATATTGTCAATTAGAGGGCTAAAAGGAGATATTGAGATAAGGGGAATTTTGGTTATTAGACTCAAAATAGTTGGAAATTAGTGGAAAATAAGGATTTGATTTGTTTAATGTTGAAAAATCAGACTTAAAAGGGAAATGAAAATTAATTATCAGGAATATGTTTGATTTATTGATTAACCCAAACAATATATATAATGGCTTTGATCTATCTAAGGGTATATTTTATTATTAAGTAGATGATTTATTATGGTGGGAAATAGAAAATTTTTAGGGAATAGAATAAGGTTACATTTAAATAAGTAAAATGTGTATTTTGGATATTATAGTTTGCTATGAAATGAGATAAGGGAAACTTTGGTTACCCAAAGTTTGAAAATTATGGATATTAAAGGTTAATTGGAATATTGATGAGAAACTAAAAATTAGGTAAAAATGTATAATAGGATATGGAGTGTTTTATGAAGATTAATTAAGATATGTATATGCTAAAATGTATTGATAAATGTAATAATGATGTTTTCATTGAGTTGATAACAGTTAGAAATGTACTAGCTTGAATATGGAATAGTAAATGTTAGGGGAAAAGGAGAAGAAATATTTGATGATGCAACCCAAGATTTGTACTAAAGATTTTGTTATTGGATTGTTGGTTAACCCTGTCACCACATTTTAAATACTCAAATGTAAAATTGGAAAACCAATAAAATATTATATATATAAAAAGAAATATTCAAATGAAATAGCACTCACGTCTTTGGGAAGATTTCAAACAAAAGTCAAAAGGTCTGGGATATCCCGGCAGCATACATAATCTCCTTTGGGATTCCAGACATGAAGCCAAAATTGAAGATCAGATTGGTTTACTTACCACTATACCTCCATTGAGATATCCCTGGCCAGCCATCAAAGAAATAGTACTGATGGTCATCTCACACAGATACAGGATGATACCAACTACTGCCATTATAGCACTTGTGATGTTCAATCCTACACTAGATTTCACCTGAAACAGCAATACACCAAGAGAAATTACAATTATGGTGTCAGCATAAGTCTTATTAAATGCAAAGCATAAAAACAATTAGCCCCAACTATAGTAAATACAGTGACAGAGAATTCAATGTATGTGTGTGTTTAATGACACATAATCAGTCAGTGGTGAAACCAGACAACATCCACTAAAGTCATATGGGGACCAGAGGAGGCTCCAATTCTAGATGGTTGAACATTCTCTATTTGTGACATAGAACTTTCAATGGAAGCAAAGCTTGGAAGCAAAAGTTGATCAACGAAGGAAGTGTGGGGGGGGGGGGGTTAGTTTGCTTTTCTTTCCCAAATGTTTATTTAAGTCTGAGCAGTATCTGAAGACAATAGACAATATAAAGAGTGCTAAGAGATTATGAAGAAACAACATAAAAGAAATTCAAATGCTATACAACTTTCTCACCAAATCCTGATTTGGACGGTTTGCAGCTGCTACACAAAGTGATCCAGAAGAAATGAACTATGGAATAAAATAGAAAAAGGTTTATTTTAGTGCACTGGAAATATCAACAGAAAAAATATCAGAAAAGGCTGAAATGCAAACAGGACTTTTATTGGTATCCGTTAGCCATTAACAGCATGGGGCATGACTGAATAGGAACATGCACATACTTACAAATATCCCTCCCCAAAAGGGGTAACCTCCAGTTCCAGACACGGTAAGATCGTAAGGATAGAGACAAATTGCGACAGCCCCAAAGCCAATGTGGATCAATCCAATCATGATCTGGACGGCCTACGGAAGGAAAACACACAAAATAGCAAAAATTAGTTCTCTGAATCTGAGAAAGAGAAACATTCTAATATGTTAGCATCCCTGGAAAAGCATCACTTTCTATTCCTCTTTGAAAGATCTTTGAAAGGGGTTGGGGCTTCTAAGCTTCCAGGGCAGGTGTTGACCCAAGGCCTGGGTTCCTATGGTGAAAAATTCAAATGGGGGGGGGAAGGGACAGTTTGAGACACCATTGTCACTATGTTCTGGACATTTACTCCAGATTATGATCTAGTTTCACCTACAGTGATGCTGCTCTTGTCAGGAAGAAGGTCTGTATGAATATCAAGATGGGCCTTTGAGAGAGGAATGTCACTTTGCTCATTACAGACTCCTCTGCAAGAGGAAGTTAAGCATGGTAAATCATAATCTTGTGGAAAAAGTAAAAGAACTTTAAAAAATAAAGGGCTTTTACGAATTCCCAGGGTGAAACAGAGAGGTTTTATTTTTGCGCAAAGGTTCAGAAGTGATTAACAATCAACAAATTTCTGAACAAGGAGGAGGGTCCAAACTACAATCTTTATAGCTCTCCCTTTCTAAGGAACAAAGGGGCATAGATGGAATCTTACATTGTATAATTTTCAGTTAGTTTCTCACAGACATACAATGAACAGAAGGTTTCACTTTTATACAATGTTTCTCAATATGCATTAGGTCATTACAGCTATTGCTAACAGCTTTCTCCCAGGAATTATGCAGACACATCATTTTGCTTTTAGTGATTTCTTTCATTATCATTATTCTTATACTTATTCATTTTTATTCTATGTTATTCTATTTCTTTCCACTTTAATAAGACAAAGCAACTTCAACTGACTTGGGCCAGAGCCAATCTATGACCAAGTTCTTCTGGAGAAAAGCCTGGAGGATTGAGAATCTCCATAGACAACATGGAGAACATTCTTATATTCCATTTTTATATTCCATTTTTCAATGCAAAAAGTGTTTTTTTAATCTTAGCATCACTTCTCAGAGCGAAGGGAAAAAAAGATCTGGCTGAAACTATGGCTGAGCTCCACTTTTTCACTTAAAGAGCAAAGAAAAGGAATGGATGTCTGAGTCAGAACATTTGGTAGAAACACAAAAGAAACTACCAGGAAGAGCAGAGATTTCTGAAGTATATTCCAGAGCCAGACAACAGCCAAGCCAAGTTCCAGAACTTCAACATGGGGCTCACAGGTCTCTACACAGCTCTAAACCTTAATGGCCTTCAAACAGGCACATAGCAAAGCATGCGTACCCCAAGCACTTTGGTCTCAGCACTGAGGAATCTCTCCATAGGACCCTTCTGGGGGACTTGTTGAGGAGCACTGGTGGAAATTCCAAGTTGCTGAACTCCATACTGAGGATATGGAGTTGCTCCAGATGCCTGAAGAGCAACACAGGGCAATCCAGGGGCCGCTCCATTAGAGGGGATGACAATTATGGTTCCACAGGTCATGCTTGCTGGAAATGTTGCCATAGCTAAGATAAGATCTGCAAATGAACAAGTGAGGAAATTTAATGTCTTAACATCAAGGAGGCAAGGCTTGGTTCTTCTCATTAACCTCACTTTATGAGATAACATTTGCCTGCAGTAAAACTGCAGAAGATTGCCAGAAGGCTTCAAGGAGCCAGGTACTAAACAGATGCAACTTTCTCAGGGGTAAAAATCCTTCTTTTCCCCACCATTCAGCCAGAACCGAAGAAGCTTGTTGGATGAGAAGCAAAAAACTTTTTGAAGGAAAAAACCAAGAAAGTCCAGTTGCCTTTTGAAAAATTCCTTTGGGACAACCATGACCTGGAGGATTGAGAATCTCTATAGACAACATGGAGAACATTCTTATATTCCATTTTTATATTCCATTTTTCAATGCAAAAAGTGTCTTTTTAATCTTAGCATCACCTCAGATCTAAAGCATCCAGCATGCATGATCGTGCTGATTGTCACCTTCAAGCATGTTCATACTGATTTGGACAAAACAAGTTACTGTAAAGCAGCGACTGTAAAGCAGCTCGGCTTGGAGGCCTGGCTGGGAGGTGGGGGGGGGAGGGAGAGAGGGAACCGAAAAGGCCATGGTGGGAGGTTGGGGACCACTGCTGCAAAGGACACAAGAGCAGGGATCTGTATCCCAGCTTTGCTTCATCCATATAGTGAGGTGTTTTTTTTCAGAACACAAATGGAGTATCAGCCTGGGTCTCCTAACAAAACTCCGGACATCCTCAGAAAGGAGTAAAGCAGTGTTTCTCAACCTTGACAATTTTAAGGCATGTGGACTTCAACTCCCAGAATTCCACAGCCAGCAATGCTGGCTGTGGAAATCTGGGAGTTGAAGTCCACATGCCTTAAAATTATCAAGGTTGAGAAACACTGGAGTAAAGCCTCAACTTCCATCGACATCTAATAGGCCTCCGGATGTTTAAAACCCTGACCCAATGACCTCAGGAGGAAGCTACTTCCTTCCTCAGCTTCCTTCCTGACTTCCTTCCCTCTTGGAAGTCCAAGTTAAGGGGAGCTCCACCCACCCACCCACCTTTGAAGGGCGAACTTCAAATATTGAGGCTTTGTAAGTTTACAGGGCGCCTGTGTGCGTACTGGGCACTTCCATCGTGGCAAGATTGATTGCAAACTCTCTCCTGTCTGCTAATTCTCCCCTGAAATGCGCCCGTCTAGAAGACCTTCGGTGACTGCGTGGCTGAGAAGACCGCGGGTGGATGGCTGTGCAGGAGAGAAGCGGCAGGCAAAGAATTCCATATTTTCTTTTAAAAAAGTAATCAGAATCTACTCACGACAACCGCTCAGGGGGACACACAAGGAAAACGAAAGTAACTAAGGAAAACAAGTGGAGGGTGGGGTTCCGCCGCCTATTACGGTAAAAAGCTTAATAGCTTAATCGAAGAGTTCTAGAAAAAAAAACACCCTTCTTTCTTGCCTCTTTAACTGTCGAAACAAAGTTTGGGGCTAGGAACCTTTTGCTATTCAGAGACGAGAGGAAATTTTTCCAAGTTTACAACACCCCGCTATTCCCAGGCTAAAACGAATTACTGAAATCAAAAGCATCCCTCGACCTTACTTCCTCCCAAAGGTACGCAAGTCCCGCGCTTGAAGGAAACTCGTTTTCAACCCCTCGGAGTCTTCCACAACCTTTCCAGGAATCGCCAGAAGAAAAACAAGAGGACGCGCACTGTGACCACAGCCTCCCCGTCCGTTCTTCCCTCGGAGCTCTTTACGTAGCCCTCGTCCGGCGGGAGAGGATTTCCCGTCTCTCCCCCCCCCCTCCCCAACCTTTCCCTCCACGGACTCTCTCTGTAGCTTTCGGCTTGCTCTTTTTAGCGCTTGAACAGGCAAAGCCGCAAAGGAGGGAGTCGCTCCCAGCCTCCGACTGTTCTCCTTGCAGAACTGGATCAAATGAAACCATTCCCTCAATTCATTTGACTCCGCTCCATAACGTTTAAAGCACAATTTTCAGCGTGTTAGTTCTCAGCTCCCCTCAGTGTAACTCACCACAAACTCATAAGAAATAGGAAATGGAAATGAATAGAATAGAATAGGATTAGAAATATTTATTGGCCATGCGTGATTGGACACACAAGGAATTTCTCTCTGGTGCATATGCTCTCAGTGTACATGTAAGCAACAAGTGATAAATCATGATCATACTCACAAAATACATTCATCACAATTATAAAACACTTAGTGATAGTCATAGTATACTAAATAAGTAATCAACATAAATCATACTCGGATACTAAAAAAAAAACAATATAAATTGTAAGATACAGGAAACAATGTTACAGTCATAAGAAGATAAGGAAATAGGTAATAGGAAAAATGAGGATAGTAGTAATACAGCCCTACTAGGTAATTTCACAGTGTTGTGGGGATTAGTTATTTAGCAGAGTGATGGCCTGGGAGGAAAAACTGTCCTTGTGTCTAGTTATTTTGGCTTGCAATGCCCTATAGCAGGCATGTCAAACTGCTGGCCCGCAGACCGGATGCGTCACACCAAAACCATGCCCACTCCATTGCCAGCAATGGGGAAAAAGTCGCAATATGTCACATGACATTATCAGTTTGACATGCCTACCCTATAACATTATCTTGAGGGAATAAATTGAAAGTTTATGTCCAGGCTATGAGAGGGCTATATTTTCACAGCCCTCTTTCTGGACCATGCATTGTACATGTCCTCAATGGAAGGCAGGCTGGTAGCAATTGTTTTTTCTGCAGTTGTAACTATCAGTGGCATTTTTGATGTTAGTTGTCCTTTTTAAATCTTGAGATATTATAGAATCTAGAAACTTGAAGGTCTCTACTGTTGATACTTTGTTGTCTAGTATTGTAAGAAGTGGTAGAATAAGAGGGCTTCTCCTAAAATCTACTATCATTTCTACAGTTTGACTGTGTTCGGTTCAAGATTGTTCTGACCGCACCACAAGGCTGGTTGTTCAACTTCCCGTCTGTACGCAGACTCTTTGAACAAAGGAACTGTTAGTGACACAATTTCAACTGAGCTAGATTATATTCAAGCTATTGCCTATCAAACTTCAAAAACTGTGCAACATGTACATTTTGTGCATTTGTAAAAATCATTGCAGGAGTCAAACTTTTCACCATGACAAGCAAGCAACAAATCTTCTCTACATTCCAATTGAGTCTCTTTAGAAATACACAAGGGATGGGCAACTCTGCAACCTTTATGAACTGTAGACTTCAACTCCCAGAATAGCTGAATCAGCCATGCTGGCTCACGGATCCTGGGAGTTGAAGTCTACAGGTTGTAAAGGGGTCATTATTGCCACCTCCTGCATATTCCCTCCCTAAAAGTATGAATGGCTTTGATTTTGGAATTGCATGTTTACACAATTGTAAACTCTTCAAGGATGCAGCTAATGAGTGTGTTTACAGCTTCCCATGTTGGAGAAGGGACGATAGTCAAAAAACCAATAATAATAATAATAATAATAATAATAAAAATAATAATGGCAATTTGCATGGATTCTGTGTTTTTGATCAGCTTAAGTGCCCTAATAATATGGATTATTTTTGTTATATGCAAACTTCTAATCTGTTTGGGGATCACAGTGACTATGCAACCACTATTACAGGTAGTTCTCCATTTACAACCAGTCATTTAGTGACCATTCAGAGGTACAACGTGACTGAAAAAATTGACTCATGACCAGTCTTCACACACAGCAGTATCCCCACGTTCATTACGATCAAAACTCAGGTACTTGGCAACCAGCACATACGTATAACAGCATGCCAGGCTCAGTGATTGCTATTTGTGACCTTCCCAGCTGGCTTTTAAGAAGTGAATGCGGGAAACCAAATTTGCTTAATGATCACGGGAGTCACTTAACCAGAATAATTTACTAAACAACAACGGCAAAACAGGTCATATATCGGGCACAATTCACTTAACTGCCTCATTTAGCTATGGACGTTCTGGTCCAAATTGCAGTCATAAGTCGAGAACTACAGGTATTGTGTCAATGATATGTTTTATTAATAGTTTATGTTTTAATTTGAGTAGCTGTTTTTCTTTTCTGTAGCATCAGATCTCCTACTTAATTCCATATTTGTCATTTAAAAAACCCCATCTAGAATATGAACAGAAGTGTAATAAACAGCTTCCATCATCCAGTGTAGGAAATTGACTTCCTCATAAATATGCCGATGATTTGCAGCACAAATTCTTGCTTCTTGGGAAGTGTTCTAGCTATTAAACTAGAAGAACTTTTAAATTTGCCACCATTTAATTTGGTGTTTAAAGGTTGTAATTGAAAAACAAACAAGGAAGCTGGAGGACAAAACAAGGTAACACATTGCTTCTCCTGAAACCTCTTCTGCAACACTTCTCCCATTTCCTTCTTGTTTTACTGAGATTTGGTAACCACGTTATCATAGGTCGGTGGAGGAGAAGAAGGATTTGGTTCAGGTGTGTCTGCTCCACCTCCGATGACTTGGTAAGGCACAAAAAGCATGGTTGGCTGTAACAGAAAAGAACAGTCAATACAAAACATACTCAGGGAGGCACCTATTACTCTGGGTAGGAGGAAAAGATTCTCCAGTTGTGTGTTGTTAACTGTGATGCTGCCAGTCTCACCAACAGGCTGTAATCCTTGATAGCCCAAAGTCCGGACAGAGAATTCTTTAAAACTATAAATTAACACACAAATGATTTAGGGCCTGGGCATTTAAGTGACTTTTCCTGATCGAATCTGCCAGCTATTCTCTGTATGGCAGTGTTTCCCAAACTTGACAATTTTAAGGCATGAGGACTTCAACTCCCAGAATTCCACAGCCAGCAACGCTGGCTGTGGAATTCTGGGAGTTGAAGTCCACATGCCTTAAAATTGTCAAGTTTGGGAAACACTGCTGTATGGAATAGATGGTCTTCTGAAATCCGGATGGTACCAACTGGGATGCTCCCCTGGAAAATGGTAAGTGGTAAGAGGAGTGAACTGGCTTCTCCTGAGGACCTTTGGGGAATGATTTTATTTTGTGCATTAGTTTTTATTGCAGTTATATATTGCTTATGTTTTATGTTACTGTATTTGTATGGTTACTGTGTTGTTGTAAACCTCCTAGGGCCCAGCTTAATTTAGGAGCGTATAAATAAATAATATTGTCATGATTTATTCACAAAAGACATCAGGTTATTAACTTATTTTAACAATTTGAAGGTGCGAAAAAGATGCATTTTCCTCCAAGGGAGGTTATTTTTTGGTTTCTGAAATTGCTTCAACTGACAGTTGTTCTGAACAGATATAGGTGCCAATAAAGGAGAATATTTGTAGCTGTTCTGGCCCATATAGCTCTATGGCCCATATAGCTCTATGGCCCAGCTCTATGTTGGAAGGTCTGGCAGTTATTGGGTTAAATGCTAGGTATGTGGATGGGTCAGTGGGAGGAGTTCCAAAGGTCTTGGGGAGACTTCCTGGACACAAGCCACATGGGAATCTCTTTGTCTGTAAGAAGCATGGGCCATGGAAGGTCTCCCTATAAGATGGTATAAAGAGCAAAATCTTCTTACCTAAGGAAAGGATCTGAAAGATGAACAAACATGTATTCCCAGCAGCACCAATCTCAACGTGAACGCAAGTAATCTTTCTCATTAAAATATATTTGTTTGTTATAAGATCGTTTCTTTTGAGTTAACTATCTGACTGGATTTGAAATATAACACTTTTGAATTTGGGTCAGTATAGTAGCACAGGTTTGAAATGAGGGTAACCTGATGTTCTCTGAGCTTGGTTGTTCTTTTGCAGATGTTTTACTGCCCAAATAATAAACCTGCACTGAAGATGTTATCTAATTTGAGTAATGAAACATCTGCAAGAAAGCAACCAAGCTAGAGAGCACCAAGGCCTCCAAGACAGGCATCTCTGCATGCTGATTTAGCTGCTTACAATATTTTTAGAGTTCTTCTGTTTTGTCAGATCCAACCATATTCACCCCTTTCAGTCTTTGTTCTCTCCCATTTTCTCCCTCTCAAATTAATCTGAAGCATTTCTGAAAGGTTGAGAGTATGTTTGTTATTGGTACAAAAGGAAGCCAATTGTCGCTTCTGCCAAACAAGGGACAGATGTGGCTTTTTGACCCACCACAGAACTTGCCAATGCAGAATGGAGGCACTTGGTTGGCAATTCAATTGTTTTCATCTGGTTTTTTCAAAAACCTTTGTAGCTCTGTTAGAATCCCTTTATTGCCACATCTACATTTGGAGATCTTAGGTAGCACATGGTAGTCATGTATTCAGATATTGGTCTGAGACTTAAAAATGTTATTTTTTTTCAAAATGAAAAAAAATCTCATTTTTAAAAAACTGATAGCATTGCGAAAAAATGTGACCAAGTGACACATACTTTAAATTAATATAATAACACCACTAAAGTAAATATATTTAGAACTGAGCCTTCTAAAATGGAGACATGAACTTCTGCATTACTGAATTAAAAAGAGACAACATAAATGTGTTGTATTGATGACATTTCCTCTCTAGCAAAAGAGAAGCTGGGAAAAATTCATGTCATCTAATTATTCATATGCAGAAGCAAATAGCCACAGGGTTTTGGATCAAAATTCAAGCCTCTCCTAGTTATAAAGCTTATTGGGTATCCTGAGCAGCCAATCTCACCTATTCTTCAGGATAATAGCAAAGAAACAAGCAAAAGTTCGGGTTAGGTGGAGTGTAAATATAAAGAAGAAAAATGGACAATCTATTTAACTTTTTTAATAATAAAAACAACTAAAGCTATTATCGAACTATCAAATATTTACCTGGGCATCAGAACAGCAAGTTGCCTGGCACCCAAAGTGTGCAAGTGAAACAGCAATGCAAAACTCCAGCAGACTGAAGAAGAGCAGCAGACTGGAGAAGCCATAACTGACATTCTTTATAGTTGTAATCTGTTGAGAAATTAATGTAGCGGTACGTATTTTATTTTATTTTATTTTATGTGCTACAATATGAAAACAGCTGCTTCCTGGGAGGAACAATTGTATTGGGAAAAACAGAGACAGTGTATAGGTAATCCTCGACTTACAACCACAATTAGGATCAGAGTTTCCACTGTTAAGCAAGGCAGTTAATTGAGTCAAACATAATTTTATCTTTTTGCCACTGTTGTTAAGCAAATTGCTGCAATTAAGGGAATCCTATGGTTGTTAAGTGAAGTTTTAATTAGGTGACTGGGGGAATGGTCATACATGCGAGGAGTGGTCATAGCTTTGAGTGTCACTGAAATCTGAATGGTCACTAAATGAATAGTTCATTCAATTAAAGACTGTCTGTATAGCCTGTGTGATATGAGAAAACCACATTAGGGAACTTTAGCACTTCTTATGCTTTGCAGCATTCTGAAGGGAAATTCCAGATAACACTGAGAATCAAAGGGGGATCAATCATATTTCAGATCCACACATCAAGTTAAATCATTGCACAGTAGCACGTATTTCACCTGAGCCTTGTTTCTCCTTTACGCACCACAAAAAGCTGCTCATGTAAAATGAAGCAGAGAAGAAGAATCCAATGCTCAGTCTCTAAATCATTAGTTTTGCCGATACAGAAATTCTCAGCTCTCCTAACCAAACCGGCTGAAGGACATTGTTCAAGGTGGTAGTAGTGTTAGCAGGCCAGATTGGAGCCTTTGTAGGAATGTGGAATTTGGAGGCCCCGGGTCAGACCACGGTAAGGACATCCCATAATAATGTCCATAATAATAATGTTGTAAAGGCCATAGTATGATGTACATTACTTTATCATTCTTATTCTTATTCTAAGGATATTTAAGCCATAATCTTTCTAGTTCTAGGCTCTTTGGCATTCTGCTGGCCAGGTGATCACTCTAGCTTTGTATGTCAGTGAAAGATGCTCCGTTTTATCTTCGGTCCCTCTGCTTCCTTATTTAAAGGGACATGTTCCCCAGAACAAGGTATTCAGGTTATGATGACTCAAACACAGTTGAATACTTTGGGTGCATGTTCTCCTGAATTACACCAAGAGTCACAAGGGACTGAACTAAAAGCAGTTAAGGCAGAGACTGGCTAGTCCAAGACGGAAAACAACAGGCCTCCCCACTGTCCTAACATATCCAGGCTTGGGTGAAGGGAAATAGATTTTATACACCTTGAGGCTGTTGTTGGATGGGGTCAGAATAAGAGGAGAGGAAAAGTTTTATACCAGTACAGCTAATGACAACTTAAGGTTTCAAATCTTACTCATGGTCTGAGGATAAGGTAAAGGTAACTTCATGGGAAAATTGGCATTAACAGATTAGGATTAAGGGCAACAATGTGATTTAGATTCAGTCAGTCAAAGATATATTATTTCCCTTCATCAATAAGGATGCAGCTAGATCTATTTTATTTACCCAACTTCTTTCCAATCATGTTAGGTTGAAAAGGGGAAAAATCCTGGATGTGATACTACTATGATTTAACACTCATAAGAAAGCAAAGGACAGGACTTTACAAAACAGTAAAATATCAAGCTGTTGATCCCAGATATTGGCATGGTTCTAAACTGTCCACACTTCAGAACTTACCTAATTTTCAGTTTTCTAAAACTCGTGTGGCAAATGCAAAGAAGGGATGAGGATGTGGGGGTGGCAAGAAAACTTGGTATACATGTACAGCTGTATTCTGTTCTATTATCCAATTTTCAAACAATCTAAGCCAACAACCAAATTTTTACATTCTACAGAGAAATAGTCAAAAAGTATGTCTAAAACACATTTACCATTTTTTAAAAAAAGAAATCTATCCAACTCCCCACCCTCCAAAAAACACTGGAAAAGAAAGAAGACATCTAAAAGATCCTACACACTTTGTTCCTCAATGACCAGAAGATTTCAAACAAAACTTAACGAATCTGGGATATCCCTCCTGTATATATAATCTCCTTCTAGATTATACACATGAAGCCAAAATTTAAGAACAAATTGGTTTACTTACGTTTAAATATTCAGTGTTATATAGATAGATATACCTAAAATTAGTACTATTGAAGATCAGCTCACATAGATACAGGATGATACCAGTTAATGCCATTATAGCACTTGTGATGTTCAATCCTACACTGGATTTCACCTGAAACAGCAATGCACCAGAAAGAGAGAAATTACAATTATGGTGTCAGCATAAGTCTTATTAAATGCAGAGCATAAAAACAATTAGCCCCAACTATGATAAAAACAGTGACAGAGAATTTCAATGTATGTTTATGTTTTTTTAAATCTGTTTTATTGATTTTTTTAACATAATCTCATTATTTGAATAACAATTAAATATAGATGTTTTTCTAATATTTCTGCAAATAATTACCACATGAATATAAATTTTCTTTTCTAACTGATCACCTTGCTTTGTCATAGATCCTATTTACAAAATTCTTATTTAAATTTGTTTTCCCCACAATATTCAAAACATTCTTACTGGATAAGATTTTCTCAAAATTAATTACACTTAAGTATTTAAGTCTTTTTCTTCGTATAGGCCATTCTAACACTTTTACATTTCTCATACCTTAAAAAGAGAGAGAGGCTAATGTATATTTATATCCAAAATGTTTCTCTTCTTTTTAACCATATTCAAACATATGTTTAATCTTTAAATGTTCCATTTAATAAATCTAATCTTTTAGATCTATTCAAAACATTTTTATCCATTGAAATTTTCTTAAGATCAATTACACTTAAGTATCTAAAACATTTCCTTTATATAAACCACCCCAACATTTTTATATTTCTCATGTCAAAAAACAAAACACAAAGGAAAATAGAAAGAAAAAATACTGTTACTTGAGGGGCTCATCCCTCTTAAACTAAAATTCATTTATATCCAAAATCTTTCCATTTCTTTAACCATATTCAAACAGATATTTAATTTTTAAATATTCCCTCTGATAAATCCCATCATCTAATTTCTTAATTCTCACTTTGGCCGTCCCCCACCCCAAACATCTTTCCTGATCAATATGCTCTGCTGAATCAAAGAATCTTCCCATAATCTTAATGGATGTTGTTGTAGGTACAAAAGGCAAATCAGGTTAAGATGTTTTTATAGGAAGGTTTCGCCCCTTCCTAATCATTGAAAATCTTTTCCTTTCTTTCTCTTATCATTTTTTGTCCCTCAAGTTCTCGTAGTTCTGGCAGCTCTGTAATCCATTTTGTCAAATCTTTTTTCTTGTCCTCAGACTTATTTTGTAATCTTAGAGTGTAAGTTATCTTTTCCAAGTCCAATATTTCCTGCAAGTTTTTTCCCACCTGGCTTAAGTCATACTTCTTTCTATTGTTAGGTTTCATCTTTAAATTTCTTTCCTCTGGTTTATATTCAGTTGCCTGTTTTATCTGCTCGCTCTCTATTTTTATTTTCTGCAGCACGTCTTGCCTGGCTACTCTTATCATCTTGCATACTGGATGCTGGTTAGGTGGGTGGGGCCCACTGGGAAACGTATATGTAAGGCGCTGGGAGGCGACTGCTCCCAGTGCTGACTTTGCTTGTTGTTTATATGACTAAATGCATGCCAGAAGTTCTGTGATTAAATCCAACCACCCGTGAACTCACCAACTCGTGTCTTCTTGGAGCCAGGGGTATGGTAAGGACTCCAGGCACTCGCTTTGTAGGTAGCCTAAAATGTTTTCTTTTTTTGTCACAGCTATTCTCTGTTATGAAGACATTGAAGGTCACCAAAAACAAGTTATCTTTTCCTGGGGCCAAGAGCCCTCTTTTTTTCACTTTCAGAGGCTTTTTGCTTCATGGATCGTTTTTTTTTTTTCGCCCAGGAAGTCAATTATCAAGTAGAAGACAGAAAATCACTGTTCTTACTTGGTTCCAAGCATGTTATTTACTGTTAGCTTAAAATACTGCTTTTGGGCTACGGCTACTTGTAGCTTAGGCTAGACTCTGAAGTTAAGCTAGCCTTTCTCCTGCTGGTTTCTGGAGGCCTTTTCCCAGACTGATAGGATCGACCATCTCTCCATGATCGACGGGATTTCCCTCCTTCTTTGTTGCCTCTCTGGGGCGACTTCAGGCCCATTTAAGGTCCCCTAACAGGCAGAAATTGGCCATAGAGTGCAGAGCACCACGATCCCTCGGCTGCTGAGGTACTTCACAAAACCGGAAGCATGTATGGGTGTGTTTAATGACAAATAACCAGTCAATGGTGAAACCAGACAACATCCACTAAAATCACAGGTATCAAACAATAGCAACAAGGTTTTCCACAGTGGAAAGGCAAATACCACAATTCATTTGAAGGCTTTTCTAACACTGTCAAATTCCTTCTCTCTGTTTCTAGATGTGAGCCTCCACTGAAGGCCAGGTGGTTAACAGTGACAGGAAAACTGGTAAGGTTATTCACCCAATAACATTCTGGTAAAGAAAGAAATCCCACACTGTTTATTCTAGGACACAATGCACTCTAAGTGTTAAATTTTAATGTTAAGTGGTCTTCTAGCTATACAACATTACAGAGAGGCAACTAGTGAGATGGGAATAAAGAAACCCTTGGAGACAGTTGTGAGAAATCTGAATGTTTAAAAATTGCTCTGTTTTTAGTTCTCCTCTGTCAGGAATGTAGTATTTTTCTATCAAGATGGTTGTTTCTCTTGAATCCACACTATGTTCCTTTACAAGACAAAAACATTTCTGTGTTGCCATGAATACTTTAAACCAAGGAAAAACAGGAGAGAAGAAAGCAAGCTCTTTGCAGGAGGCCTACCATCAGCTCTCTTCTCTCTTTGATTCCCAGAATGAGACTCACACTTGTTCCATACTTTTACTCCTAATACACTGAGCTTCTTTCTAATGTTGCTTCCATGTAGGAATACTTCTGAAACAGGAACCTCTGTCAACATGGAGGAGGAGAAGGAGGAGGAGGCATGTTGGTGGTTGGTGGTCTGGTTCAAAACTAGAGAATGCAAGGACGCACCTCTTTGTTCAGGACTAGCACCAATACCAGTAACAACTAAGGAAGCTCTAATAGAAGAAGCACCCACGTCATGGTCATTGACTCTCTCAGGCTTCTCTCATTTTCGTCATGGTACAGACAGGACCTGCAGTGTTGTAGGTTGCACCTCAGGAAGGGAACTTGGGAAGAAGCCCATCGCAAAATGGGGACCAGGGGAGGCTCCAGTTCTAGATGGTTGAACATTCTCTATTTGTGACATAGAACTTTCAATGGAAGCAAAGCTTGGAAGCAAAAGTTGATCAAAGAAGGGTGGGGGGGTTAGTTTGCTTTTCTTTCCCAAATGTTGATTTAAGCCTGAGCAGTATCTGAAGACAATATAAAGAATGCTAAGTGATTATGAAGAAACAACATAAAAGAAATTCAAATGCTATATAACTTTCTCACCAAACCACAATTTGGACGGTTCACAGCTGCTACACATAGTGATCCAGAAGAAATGAACTATGGGAAAAGAAAAACATTGACTTTAGTACAATCTGGCACCCATAAGAAACCAGGGAGGTTCTAGTGCAAACAGGATTTTTATAGGTACCTGTTAGCCATTAATACCAAAGTGCATGACTGAATGGAAATTTGCACATACTTACAAATATCCCTCCCCAAAAGGGATAACCTCCAATTACAGACAAGATAAGGTAGTAAGAGGGAAACAAAGTGAGACAAATTGTGACAGCTCCAAAGCCAATGTGGATCAACCCAATCATGATCTGGATGGCCTATGGAAGGAACACATACAAAATAAGAAAAATTAGTTCTCTGAATCTGAGAAAGAGAAACGTTCTAATTTGTTAGCACCCCTGGAAAAGCATCACTTTCTATCCCTCTTTGAAAGATCCTTGAAAGGGGTTGGGGCTTCTAAGCTTCCAGGGCAGGTGTTGACCCAAGGCCTGGGTTCCTATGGTGAAAAATTCAAATGGGGGGGGGAAGGGACAGTTTGAGACACCATTGTCACTATGTACTGGACATTTCCTCGAGATTATGATCTAGTTTCACCTTGAGTGAGGCTGCTCTTGTCAGGAAGATAGGTAAGAATATCAAGATGGGCCTTTGAGAGAGGAATGTCACTTTGCTCATTACAGACTCCTCTGCAAGAGGAAGTTAAGCATGGTCATCATAAGACAAAGCAACTTCAAACGGCTCGGGCTGGAGCCAATCTATAAACAAGTTCTTCTGGAGAAAAGCCCAAGAGTTGCACTTCTCAGAGGGAAAAAAAGATCTGGCTGAAACTATGGCTGAGCTCCACTTTCTCAGTAAAAGAGCAAAGAAAAGGAATGCATGTGAGTGAGAACATTTGGTAGAAACACAAAAGAAACTACCAGGAAGAGCAGAGATTTCTGAAGTATATTCCAGAACCAGACAACAGCCAAGCCAAGTTCCAGAACTTCAACATGGGGCTCACAGGTCTCTACACAGCTCTAAACCTTAATGGCCTTCAAACAGGCACATAGCAAAGCACACATACCCCGAGCACTTTGGTCTCAGCACTGAGGAATCTCTCCATAGGACCCTTTTGGAGGACTTGTTGAGGAGCACTGGTGGAAATTCCAAGTTGCTGGACCACATACTGTGGATATGGAGTTGCTCCAGATGCCTGAAGAGCAACACCCGGTAATCCTGGGGCCATTTGGATTACATTCGCTCCATTAGAAGGGATGACAAATATGGATCCAGTAGCCATGCTTGCTGGAAGTGTTGCCACAACTCAGGTACCTGCAAACAAACAAGTGAAGAAAGTTAATGTCTTCACACCAAGGAGGCAAAGCCTGGCTCTTCTCATTAATCTCACTTTATGAGATAACATTTGCCTGTAATAAAACTGAAGATTATTTCCAGAAGGGTTCAAGGAGCCACATACAACTTTCTCAGGGATTAAAAATATTTCCTTTCCCCATATTCAGCCGGAACCAAAAAAGTTTCTTTGTTGAGAAGTGAAATGTTTTCAAGGAGAAAAAAAGAACTCCAGTTGCCTTTTGAAAAGCACCTGTGGGACAACCATGGCCTGGAAGATTGAGAATCTCCATAGACATCAGAGAGAAAAAGTTAATGAGAACATGGAGAACCTGCTTATTGTTATGACCCAGGGGGTCAAGGCAAAGCAGCCTCTAGAGCAGTGGTTCTCAATCTTTTTATAGCCGCGACCCCGGTCATAAGTCGAGGACTACTGGCCCGGGAGCGCCGCGCATGCGTCGTGCCGCCCCCTGCGCCAGCTGAGGCATAGCCAGCAAGGGGCCGCAGCAGGCAGGGTGACTACCGGCTGGGCCACCAGCTGGCCCAGCCCAAGGCAGGTAAGGCACCCGCCGAGCCCCACGCGCACCAGCAACCCTCCCTGCGCCCGCCGCTGCCCCACTAGGCTTACCTTGGACGCTGCCCGTTTGGGGCGTCGGCAGGCAGGCCCAGGCGCTTCCGGGCAGCTGTGGCGGCACAGGGCGACCATCGGCTGGGCTACCAGCTGGCCCAGCCCAAGGCAGGTAAGGCACCTGCTAGGCCCCAAGCGCACCAGCAACCCTCCCTGCGCCCGCCACTGCCCTGCTAGGCTTACTTTGGCCGTCGCCCATTCGGGGTGGCGGCAGGCAGGCTCAGGCGCTCCCAGGCAGCCGCGACAGCAGTGGCGCAGGGCGACTACCGGCTGGGCCACCAGCTGGCCCAGCCCAAGGCAGGTAAAGCACCTGCAGGGCCCCACGCGTGCCAGCAACCCTCCCTGCGCCCACCGGCCTCCCACCTCCCACCCCAGGCCCTCTTTTACTTACTTTTTAGTTGCTCAGCAGGGAGGGAAGCTCTGCAGACTGTTCCCCTTGCAGCAACGTTTGCAGACTGGGGCTTTTGGCAGGCTCAGCAGGGCAGAGACTGCCCTGGACAATTCCTATTGGCTTTTGAAAGCCAATAGAATTAGACTCTGTTCAAGAGAGTCTATTCTATTGGCTTTCGAAAGCCAATAGAATAAGAGGGAGTAGCAGAGCTAAGGAAAAGGGGAAAAATGGCGGATCGCGTTGTTTGGCGACCCCATGAAATGGTCATTCGACCCCAAATGGGGTCGCAACCCACAGGTTGAGAACCGCTGCTCTAGAGTTCTTTATTTCTCTTAGCAAATATTCCAGCCAATGGACTTCCAACAACAGGTACGGCTTCACCCTCACACAAGGCACAGACTCCCAAAAACAGTCCCAGTAGTACTAAGAAAGCCCACAGAGTAGGAGCAAAGTCCAGGGCAGTCCTCAAGGTTCTACCAGGCAGGGTCCAGGCCCAATACAAGATCACTCCTCAGAACAAGAAACAAGTCCCAGAAAAGAAGCAGTTCCAAAGCTCCAGTGAAGCAAAGCCACAAAAGGGCGAGGTCCAAAACAAAATGCAAAGAGCAATCTTCCACAAGAGGCAAGGCAAGGCAAACAGCAACAGGCACAAGTAAAAGCCGGGAGAGTGTAAGCCAAAGCAGTTACAGTTAAGGCAGTTACAGGCAATCAGGAAGAGTGGCCCTGTCACGAGGGCAATGAGTAGGCAATGGGATCAGCAAGGGGATAAAAAGAACTTTCCCACCCCCTAAGCCCCACTCTGAGGACGCTGGCAGAGGACCAGCGAAAGCTAAGTTATTTTAATCTTGTATATAACTGTTTTTATTGTTTTAAATGTTGTTTTAACAATAAATAACTGGAGTATACTCTTCCGGAGATCGAAGATTGCATCATTGAGCAAATATGCCTAGGATTCGTATTTTTACAACCATTAAGGATATATATATAATATATATATATATATGTAGATGCTTTAGATTGGGAAATTAGTTATATAAAAGCAAATGTTTTATGCTTTAGGTATAGGTGATTGCTTACATGAAAAGAGCAAGGTAAGGGGAGGGGGGAAAGGAGTTAAGGATGGAGCCTGGGTTGCTGTGTATGAGTCATCATCTAGAAATTATTTTTTTGTGCCATCTTATGCCTAGCACCAAGATCAGATCTCTTTGTTCTGGAAAGGTATAAAAGGTGGAAGACATCTTTCCTGGTTGTTGCCTTTATCTCTCTACCAGCCACAAACAGAGACGGGGTCACACAACTCTATTTTGATCAAAATAAAAGTTGTTTGCTTGCTGAAACCTCGGCTCAGGAGTTTCTTTGGCTCTTTTAAATTCCTGAGTAATTGTGAGGCTAAGTGGAAAACCTTACAGTACAAAATCAGCAGGGGATCAAATAAATTTTTCCCTCACTGTAATAACTCTCCGGATGTTTAAAACCCTGACCCAATGGCCCGAATTAATCCCACGGTTGCTATTTGTACAGACCTCAGGAGGAAGCTACTTCCTTCCCTCTTGGAAGTCCAAGTTAAGGGGAGCTCCACTCACCCACCCACCTTTGAAGGGCGAACTTCAAATATTGACTCTTTGTAAGTTTACAGGGCGCCTGTGCGCGTATATGGCACTTCCATCGTGGCAAGATTGATTGCAAACTCTTTCCTGTCCGCTAATTCTCCCCTGAAATGCGCCCGTCTAGAAGACCTTCGGTGACGGCGTGGCTGAGAAGACCGCGGGTGGATGGCTGTGCAGGGGAGAAGCGGCAGGCAAAGAATTAATTCCATATTATTATTTTTTAAAAAGTAATCAGAATCTACTCACAACAACCGATCAAGACGACACACAACAAGGAAAACGAAAGTAACTTAACGGAAACAAGTGGAGGGCGGGGTTACGCCGCCTACTAAAATGAGGGATTTACTCGTAGCTTAATCGAGGACTCCTGAAAAAACTTCTTTTTCCTCTTTAACTGTTGCAACTAATAACAGTTTGGGGGCCAGGAATCTTCTGTTTATTCAGAAATGAGAGTAAAATTATCCAAGTTTACAACATCCTGCTATTCCCGGGCTAAAACGAATCACTGAAACCAAACGTATCCCTCGAATCTTTCGCTTCCTCCCAAAGTACGCAAGTCACGCGCTTGAAGGAACTCGTTTTGAACCCCTTGGATTCTTCTACAACCTTTGCAGGAACCACTAGAAAGAGAAACAAGAGGACGTACACTGTGATCACAGCCTCCGCGTCCGTTCCCCCTTCTGTCTCCTGGACCTCTTTAAGTAGACCTAGTGAGCGGAGAAGATTCCCCCCCCCCCTTCCCTCCACCGAAGCTCTCCGTAGCTTTCGGCTTACTCTTTTTGGCCCTTTAACAGGCAAAGTCGCAATGGAGGGAGTCGATCCCAGCCTCCGACTGCTCTCCTTGCGGAACTCTCCCTGGGAACCTCAGAGACCGCTGAAACGCCTGGACCACCATATCGTTTGGCCACTAAGCAGATGCCAAAGGCAAATCCTCTCCGTGCATTGGCAAAGTTAGCATATGGGTTAATCTATTATGTTTCCTTCTGCACTAATTTAAACTGAGCATTTGCTTTTGAGTTGACTACTATTGGAGAGTCCCCCATTCTTTCAGATGCATGTTACACGGGAGCGCCCTCTAGAGTCCTGATCCTCCTATTGCTAGTTTGTATAGGCCTGTGCCACAAACTTCTACGCGGGGTGTGTGTGTAGGGTAGATCGCTTCAACGCTATAGTGTTTTGGAAAGGGAGACAGCTTCTGCCCCCTTTCCTCCTCCCCACGAGCTATGCTAATCCCAGATTTTAAAAAGCTGCTTGTCGTTATCTCTTTCAGATGCCAAGATAATTTCCCTATATTATAATATTGGTTTTTCAGTCTTGTTTAGTTCAACAGTTCATGTCGAGGGGAAATTAGACAGGTGTTTCAATCAATGGGATGATAATCAAGTGTGAGCGTGGCAGGTCCAGTTACCTGACACAATATAATTCTGAAGTTAAGAAGAGGCAAGAGGAAATCACAATATAAGCTGCAAAGAGAGAAAAAGAAAACATAAGAGGGAGATAATGTATTGGTGGACAATGTGGCCTTATAAGAAAATTATCAATACTTAATTCATATAAAGGACATTCCACTAGAGAAGACAACTGAGTAACAGAAATACTAATACACAGTAAAGAAAACAGAAAAAGGAAAAAAGATAAAGGCAAAAGTGCAGAAAGAAAAGAAAAGAAAAGCTTCCTATTTTCCTTGCAGCAAATATAAACATCATTACAAAATTATCTTATAAAAAAGGTCACTTTTTCCTATTTTTTTTTCTAATTGTCAAAAAGTCTAGTCACAAGTACATTTTACGAGCCCTGATGGTACAGTGGTTAAAGTTCAGTATTGCAGGCAAACTCTGCCCACAGTCTGGAGTTTGATCCCGATGGGGCTCAAGGTTGACTCAGCCTCCCATCCATCCGGGGTCAGTAAAGTGAGGACCCAGATTGTTGGGGGCAATATGCAAATAATGCTTCAACGTTGTAAACCACCCAAAGTGTGCTGTAAAGCATTAAGGAACGGTGGTATACTTCTCAACTTACGACCATAGTTGAGCCCAACATTTCTGTTGTTAAGTGAGACATTTGTTAAGTGAGCGTTCCCCACTTTGCGACCTTTCTTGTCACCATTGTTAGAAGAATTACTGCAGTTGTGAAGCTAGTAACACGTTTGTGAAGTGACTCCAGCTTTCCCATTGACTTTGCTGGTCAGAAGATCACAAAAGGGATCACATGACCCAGAGACACTGCAACCATCATAAATATGAGTCAGTTTCCAAAAGTGTTAATTTTGATCACATGACCATGGGGATGCTGCAAAGCCCATAAGCATGAAAAACGGTCATAAGTCACTATTTCAGTGCCGTTGGTCACTAAATGAACTGTTGTAAGTTGAGGACTAAATGCTATTGCTAATGCTATTTGTTCTGTTTCATGTAAAAAGTCTCTAAGGGATTTCCAGTCAGTCCCATCTTTTCTCTAATCAAGGAAGTCAATTTAGCCTTGTCTGCAAGTCCCATCATTTTCACCAATCATTCCTTTATTGTGGGTTATGTCAAACCTTCCCACTTTTAAGCATATTACGAGGGCAATTTGGAAATAAACCTCTGAGCATGTGCGAGAAAAAGGCAGGGATAGCAACGCCCGTTCTATGGCGCCATGCGTAGTAGTTCAGTAGGCAGTGAGGAGTGGAAGGAAAAGGTTGTATTGCAGTTGTCCGCTAGATCAATGGAAAATGAACTCTGCCATAGAAAATCCCTCCAAACATGAAAAGTGAAGTGGGTGCAGTAATACAATTCCTGTGTGCGAAAAAATGTTCGGCACCTGCAATTCATTGTGAACCATGTAATCTTTATGGACCAAATGTGAAGGTGTCATACGTCAGTGGTGTCGCATGATGAAAGATGGATGAACTGACTTGCACAATGAGGCAAAAAGTGGCAGCCCATCTGTAGTCAGCTATGAACTCGTGCAAGAAATTGACAAAAAGGTCTGTGAAGTCCGTCGGTTCACGATATCTGCACTTTCTTTGCACTTTCCCCAAATTTCTCAGACTGTTTTGTATGGAGGTAGTGACAGAAAGTTTGGGATAGCGCAAGTTCTGTGCTCGTTGGGGTCCAACACTCCTTTCTGAGGAGCACAAAACACACGAAATGGGTTCACGATGCTGTTACAGGGAGGCTTCATTCCCAGGCAGATTTTTTTTGCAGAAGGAATTTCAAACCTCGTAAGACGTTGGGACAAGTGCCTCAATTTGAATGGGGATTGTGTTGAAAAGTAATGTAATGTTGTAATTTTCTAATGTGTATAATAAAAGCTCTGTATCTGCAAGTGTCTGTCATTGTTAACCAAACAGAGGATTATTTCTGAATTGCCCTCGTATAATCTCGCTGCAACTGTCATATATAAAAACAAAGTTCCATTACTTCTTCTTTGCTGTCCCTCTATTCATCCTGAAGAAAAGTATCCAGTTTTAATTGTACCCGAGTCTTTAAAATCTTCTGAATTTATCTAGGTATTTGTATCCAAGATTTTTGGAACTTTTCTTTTTCCGAACAGTCAGAAGATCAGACCTGCAGATTCTACAAGTAAAAATGTTAATCTTTCAATTAAAGCTGGTGTGGAGGCATCTGGAAAGACACGATAAAAGTTTGTTATGGTTTCTGATCCTCCTTCTCCATAAGTTGTCCTCTATATTCATCTTATAGGGGAGGAAGGATACTTGAGAAAAATTCAGACCACCTAGTTTCCCAGATCAAATAAGCTGTCTACTGGACCTTTTCACTTTCTAGTGCAAATCTGCCTCCTCTAAAAATTACAACCTTCCAGCATTAAATTATAATTGAAATATGTACAAATTTATGAAAAAAAAATAAAGGCAAACAATGCAAGTAAATTGAAAACTTGTGAGATCACATGAGACCACTGAAATCTCACGAGAGTTGGCAAATTCAAAAGATAACAGCCTTTTTAACAATAACATATGTTGAAAAAAATCAATTTCATTTTTGAAGTCACAATTGACATTTTAACGTTGATAAATGCCCAGACGTCATCTGTCCCTGCATAAGAAGCCATCGCTGAAGGCTACCATTCCTGTAGATGATTGGAGAGTCATAGTTTTCATTAAGCTCTCATTCAGGTTGAGTGACTGAACTAGCTTACTTCACAGGGACATATCCTGAGCATGTTTCATGTCCTTTCCTCCAATTAGGGAAATGGTTCAGAAGCATGTTGATAGGATTTGTTCCCTCTCCATAGCTCCTCTCTACTTGGAGCTGGCCTGAATTGCAGGAAAAAACTCACAGTTGCTCCCTCTACCCTGTGTGCTTGGAGGAGGAGGGAGGTGGTGGTGGTTGAAAGATGGCTGGAGTGGCTGATTGAACTATCATTCAACCCTAGTGATCTTGGAATAACCAGCCTGTGAGTCCATTGCAAAAACCAGTGGCCGAACATGCAGATCCCTTCATGGAGTGCTGTATCTACAGAGGTCCTGCTCTACTACTTTTTCTGACCCTAAGAGAAAGATCATTGAGCAGCAACCTGGTCACAAAGAATGCCTCATAGGCTAACCTGCCTATTGGGCCTCCCCCCAAATCTTTTTAGAGAGGACTTGCTCTATCACTACCATAGCATTGAGAGTGGTAGAAAAAGCAGTAAAGAATTACTGTACCTTCCTAGAGCGACCTGCCTGTCAATCACATAGAAATGGAGCCAACCCATAGAGCAACTGGTCTGCTGGGAAACTAAAACTGTGATGACAGGGAGGTGGCTACACAGCAGTTCTGGTTTATGATTTTCTGCAGTCTTGGTGGAGCTGCTCTTATTCTGGGATCATGTCTGTCCAGCATCAAAACCCCAGATGCCCCTGGAGGGAAGTCAGCAGCCATCCTATCTGTGAAGCAATGATGAGGGAAGATGGAAAACATGATTTCCACATTGAATCAGAGGAAGCCAATGGTAGCTGCCCTCAGCTATGGACTGGAAATGAGAGGGAGGCTGTATTATGCAGATGAGTCCTTAAATATGGTTACAAGAAGTCTTTGAGGCAAAGTCAGGAGGCTGTGTGGATGGGCTCATTCTCTCATTAAGCAATTTCATTGTGCTCAGAGTGAGGTAGAGTATCTTCCAGCACTCAAGCTATAGGTAGTTCTCATTTAATAAGAGTTCAGAGTTACACCAGTGATGGAAAAGCAACTTTTAAGACCAAGCCTCACATTTAGGGCCTTCAAGGGTTTGTAAAGCAAAGGAAAACTGAAGTCAGAACATAAGAATAGTTGTGGTTTCATTTAGAAATCACTTTGCTTAATGATTGACAATCCCAAATGTGGCTGCCAAACAAAGACTATATCAATATAACTATATTGCTATTAAACCTCTGAGCCTATCTCTTACCCACTAGTTGTAGTGGGTGCTCTTTATGTTGCC